TATCCATTTATTTTCATTTTATTTGTGTGAGTTGATATATCATGGTTGTGACAAAAAGATGAGAATGATTACCTATTAATATATAATTACTTATATGCTACCATTCAAAAAATGTGGGGTCAGTAAGATTTTTGAAAGAAATTAACACTCAGCAAGGGTGCATTAAATTGACCAAAAGTGACAGTAAATACATTTATAATGTTTTTAAAATAAGGTATCCAAAGAAATATTAAGTTTTTAATATTGATAATAATAAGAAATGCTTCTTGAGCATCAAATCAGCATATTATAATGATTCCTGAAGGATCATGTGACACTGAAGACTGGAGTAATGATGCTGAAAATTCAGCTTTGATCACAGGAATAAATTACATTTAAAATATATTTTGAAAGAACACTGTTATTTTATATTGTAATAATATTTCACAATATTACTGTTTTTACTGTATTTTTGATTAAATAACATGACATTATTTCAAAACATTGTGATGAATTGCAAAATGTAGGTCATGAGACTCTTAAAAATGTAGGCCATGACGTTTCCTTTAATGTTTGTAAATATTATAAATAAGATTACCTAAATAATTCTGATTAATACATGCCTTTGACAGGTTTCTATAAACCTGAATATGTTACATAATACACTTACGTGACATGACGCATAAAAGGAAACATATTAATTAAACTAAATTCTGTGCTTCCTACAGTAATAGTTTCACTGTTTGTTTTTTGTGACAACTTACCCCATACAGTAGTGTGACAAGATGCCCCAGTGTTGGGAGTCAATGGGAAATTCAAAAACTTTACATTTGCTATAAAAGCATCCCATTTAGAACGGCACACCTAATAAGACTGATCTACAAAACAAAGAGAGGCACTGACTGACCTACTTTCATCAGTATCATTATTCCAGAAGAAGGGCCATATTGTGTTCCTGTCATTGTCCTAATTCATACAAGGATTCAGTGACAATGTGAAGGAGCACAAACCAGTCCCATCATGATCATCAGCTGAGGATGAAGCCCTGAGCGCAACATCATCTTCAGCAGTGATGATGATGCTGGTGCTGATGGTGAGGATGATGAAGATGTGACACTGGACGTACCTCTCAAAGACCAGCCGGATCATAAACATGCAGAATGCTAAAGGACACGCTAGATACAGATCCTCGGCTTGTGGAAAGGTTGACTCGTCAGTATTTTTCAAGTCAGCCCAGGTTACGTTGTGCGGGAGCCAGAACCTCTCGTTCCAGAACCACACCAGAATCCCTGCCATTTCCAGCGGATCTGATGCTTTGACGCCCGTGCTGATGTGCAGTCAATGGCCGATGCGGCTTTGCGACGCTCTTTCACGGCTGATCTTTGCAGGTCCAGTGTGTGATGATGATGATGATGTTGGTGATGATGGACCGCCCGTTTGTGTTGTGAGTCTCCACTCTCTCCAATGTAGGGAAGTAGAATGCGACTGCGAGCGACACGCTCCGCCTCCGCGATGGTGATTGGTCCGTGAGCTTGTCAATCATAAACGCGTCGCTTAAAGGAACAGTTCAGGAAGAAATTAAATGAATATTCTTCTGTGTTTATTCTGAAAAACTGTTTATGTGGCTCTGATCCGCTCTGTATTTGATTATGGTAGTTTGGTATATGGTTCAGCCTCAAAAAACCTTGTTAGAAAAACTCATTAAAATACAAGCTCATGAGACAGTGATAAGTCTCGTTATTTAAAAATGACAATTAATGATTAATTATAAGGGGCATAAAGAAGAACATCCTACAAATATGGTTTTACAGAAGTGCTGGGAACAAAATAAAAGTTGTAAAAGAATCTTTGGGTGAGGAGGAGTAAAATATATGCAGACGAAATGCAAGTAAATAGTATCAAGATGAGCCCTACAGTAATTTCCGGAATATGAGCCATAGGTTTATCGAAACACACACACACCTCAAGTAGATCTGCATCTGTTGGAGGTTTAAAAAAGCAGAATGAGAAGTAGACTTGCCATTAGCATTTTCAGTATATGTTCCTCTTATTCAAATGTTTACAGACGGCTCAAACGATCTGGGGACAACTGGGGCTGCTTCTTCATTCCAGACTGACATCAGAGGATCAGTGGAATAAAGCCAGCATCAAATCATTTGGGAGAGATCTTGAGATCTTTTAAATCTAGCCACCAAGATGTTATCTTACAAATACATTTAGGAATTGTTCAAAATGAGATATGCAGTTTTAAATGAATTCCAGCACACATAGGAGTAAAGAGAAATGAGGATATGGATAAATTAGCTAAACAAGCTTTATGGAAACAACAATAGAGATACAAGTTCCATTAAGTCAGAAATGAAGGTTTTAATATGGAATAGAGGAATAGAAGAATGGAAAGGAAAGTGGAACAATGGTAAAAAGGGTAGCCTATATTTCTTTACAGCTTCATTAATAAGGTAAATCAAAAGATGAGATATAAATCAATAAAAGAAGAGGTTATTGTTTGGGCATTACAATTTAAATAGCACACAAAACATCCAAATGGGTTATGACGTGAACAATGTCATGTTGAAGAAACAATACCTCATGTGATTTTTGATTGTATGAACAAGAAAGGAACAATATGATAGAAGAAATGAAGAAAAATGGATTTATTTCTTCCATTTTAAGGTTTTAATAAAATGGTCAAGTGAAATAAATAGTAAAGCATTCTTTGATTTTATTAGGGAGACAGGGTTGATATATAAAAAACTCAGATTCATATTGAAAGTAAATGTCATAAAGGCCTATTGGTTATTATAGGTCATACATAACTCTTAAGTGCTTCTAAACCATAGCCTATAGTATCATTTATATAGGCTACATTTATAGTTTTTATTAATATTTTGAAATAGCTATTATTTTCATATTTTCAGCTTTCTCCACAGTTTAATCTTTAAGTTTAAATATTACTATTAAGGTTTAATTTATGTTTAGTTCAGTTTTACTGTTTATTTATTTCGGTGCTTAGGACTTATTTAGTTCTAATTGTCGTTTAGTTTGCTTTTCATCTCATATTATATTTTAAATTACTTCAATTATTTCAACTAGCAAAGACAATTTTAACAGTTTCAGTTAACCATAATAGCCCTGTTTTGAAATAAACTTTATTCATTTTTGTATTATTTTATAAATGTCTTATGGCTCCCTGTATTCTAACAAGAAAGCAATCAATATGTAAATCAATCTGTAAATTTCTATTTGTGATTTTATTGTTTAATAATGTGTTTTGTTAAAATGTATTTTTATTGTGTTATTCTTATTGATTTTATCCTTATATGAATAAAGCATGTTTTTGTATTAGTCTGGCTCCTTGCAACATGTAAATCCCCTTATAGTTCTAAATCAAAATAAAAGGATAAATCGGAGTAAAGCGGGTCACGTGTCATGGGCCCTTTAGCTGCCAACGCTTATGAAAGGGCGCCACCTGCTGGGCGATGGCCAGCTTTATAATTTTACATTAGCTACAGGTTGTTTTACAGACGTGAAAACAAATTGTGATTATTTCGTAAACCAGGCCTATATTAAGTCTAGCTAAATTATTTACACATAAAGCCAAATTTATCAAGACCCAACCACTTTTCAAAATCTTTTTATTTGAAGTGCAGTTAAATGTTCATTAAGATTGGTAACCTGTATGATGATGATACATTATGATAGGAAGTAAATAGAAACCTTTGCTAAATTAGTTGTTACAAAATGTAAAATTATTCAAAGACGTCATCTTACCCCCCAACTTGGGGTATAAAAAGACTCAACTGACCTGTAGGTTTTAATGAAGGGGAAGATGTCTGAAATATACATCTAATTCATGGAAATATTAAATAATAACCCCATTAATTATTACATTTAAAAACAATAGCACTAGTAACAACATGCCACTTCGGGCCTTCTGTGCCAATCGGGATCATCATACCCCAAGGGTCTAATTTAATTTGACTCTAAATTAAAAACTATAACTTTTACTCCACAAATCTAATCCATCATTAACAAATAGACAAACAATAAATAAAAATGATATTCATATCATAACATAATGAAATATCATAGATCACTATATTTTCCAGAGACACAAAACTCATTTAATCTTTCGGTTGGTTAAATCTCAAAAAAGTTGATTTTCAGATAAAACGACAAAATTAAAAATAGTTTACTATATATATATATTTGAAGTGGTCAACGTTTGAAGTGGATCAAAAAAGTTCCTCAATGTTGTCCTGACAAGAACGGGTATTGTTCAAAATTCATGTATAACTTTGATGAAATGTTTTGATCCACTTCAAATGTTGACTATATATATATATAGTGTGTGTGTTTTAAATATTTTAAAGATTTACAGCCAGTAGGGGTAAATAAAAATAAAAAAATAAAAAAATAAGAGTTTCACTCTTAATATAGTTTTTAGGCTATTTTTGAACTGCCTTTAAACAAACAAACAAACAAACAAACAAACAAACAAACAAGACTAATTTCCCCCATATTAAAGTCAATAGCAGTTTAGTAGCCTACGGACATTAATAATTAGCTTATGAAATTCGGTCATGTCGACGTTGTTTGGTGGTGACCTGCTTCGTTGCATCGTCTAGTCACGTTTGCTAGTTTCATTTATTTCGGAGTTGTCCACCTTCTTCGGCTTTTTTAGTTCATATTTCTGTTAATTTATGAAGGATCGCATCGTGCCCACTTTTAAATGTTTTATTCGGCATTTTCACTTTGTAGCCTACATGTCCTATTATTTAATTACTAGCTATTAGCCTATGTTATGACTATGACGATAATTGTTGTTAATGTGTGTGTGTTTTTGTATTTCTTCAAGCATTCATTAATAATACAAAATAAAATTAAAAACAGCTAATTAATATCCACAAGCCACGCTATAGTGATATCAGCGCGCTGAGATGAATATTCATGAGCTCAGCCTTCGCTGTAGTAGGATTGGAGATGTGTGTGTGAGTGTGTCTCCGGATGTGTTCTCGCAGGCGGTAGTGAATGTCAATGATCCAGCAGCAGCAGCAGCAGCAGCAGAGAGAGAGTGTGTGTGAGTGAGTGTGTGAGAGCGACTCTCTCAGCATCATCATGGCGGAGCAGAGCGACTCCCCGGCGGCCGTCCAAACCCCGCAGCCCTCGCTCAGCACCAGCTGGCCCATCGTGAAGGAGGCGTACGAGCTCCAGGAGGTCATCGGTGGGTAGTTACAGATGGATTTGAGCCCGTCAGTGGCTGCTGTTTGTTGGTTTGGGCCTACCGGCTTTTTCCCATATGCACTGGCCGATGACAGTAATGCAATGCGGATATGACAAGTGAAGCTTTCGATCATATGTTTTGAAGCTGTTGGGTGTAATGTCATGCTCAGGACAGTGCGCGCGTTATGAGTGATGATGATGCATCATTGAGACGTCAGGCTACTGTGATGTTTACAGGAAAGGTGCTGGTATGATGAAACGTGTGTGGGGAAGGTTATTTTTGCCAAAAAGTGCAACCAAGTTTTTGTGGTTTAAGTTGATGCATAGCACAGGCTGGCGGATACTAAGCAAAACACTCATAACTTATATTTATAAATGATTTGTATAAATATTAAGTATGATATTTCATGTTCTGAGTGTGTACTGTAGGTGTGGATGTTCTCAGCACTTGCACTGTCTGTGTCTGTGAGATTTAAAGGTGTCATTTGATTTGCTGCATGCGATGCGTTTGCGCCGTGCTCGTGACGCCCTCTGCTGCTCGTGCACGGCATCTCTACTCAATCTGCTACTTCACAAAGTTTTACACAAAGAACAAAAGTTTACATACGTGTTTTATATTTTGTATCATATTTGATAGATAAGGCTTTTATGGATCATATAGTATGATATAGTGAGAATATGGAGCTCATTGATACTCGAGGAGCAAAAAACACCTTTGTTTTATTCGGAGGCCCAAACTGAGCAAAATGTGCAATTTGGCTGCAGATGCTGATATTTACAAGGCTAAAAAGATAAAACTCTTGTAATGTAAGTCAATGATATCTTTATAACAGTATAGCAGACTACTTGGATAAAATGCATATTAATTTCACTCAATATCTCGTAATAATATGTCTTCGTAAGATGATAGGCCTATGTAAATATTTAGTTTTATGATAAAAGCTCTGTGGTTTTTATTGTGGGGGCAAAATATAATGCAATACAGTGATGAACAAATAAATTCTCCTCAAAAGCATGTTGATTCCTATTTGAAACTCACATTTTAAGACAAGTTTTAGTTCAAGTAAACTAAGTTGCCTCAGTTCAGGAAGTGTTTACTTCATATAAAGCGTTCAAGATTTCACAGCAAAATAATAAGTAAACTATTATGTGGTTACTGTTTTTCATAGGTTTTTTTTGTATAAATGATCAACAACAAGATGTTAGTTTAAAATTTCCATGAATTACCATTTCTTTTATGATTTTTTCTCTGTTTTTTTTTTAGATGAAATATTACACACATAAGTTGTTGTGTGGCATCTCTAAATCCATTACAATTTAAATTTAAATTTCAGTTTTTATCTTCAATCATTAGCATGATGTTGTTAAATAATTAATTACTGTAAATTAATTATTTTTCACTTGAAAAAGTAAGGGAGGGATTACTTAATTGGATTAAAATACTGTATAGACTACAGAACAATTCTATATAAAATAATAGTGGAGTTAACATCAGAATTTAATGTCTAATAATGTTATTGTAAGCTTCTCCCTTTAAATACTTTGGTCAGTTCAAGAATACTTTGTGCAATTTTATATTATTTATTTGAAAGAATTAAAAGAGCAGTTTCATGCCTATCCTTGTTTAACTGGTTGAGGTTGATGGGATTTAGAAAGTAATAAGTAATGCAATAATTTTTAGTAGCTAGTAATTAATTACTTTTAAGAGTAACTTGCCCAACACACACACACACACGCACACACACACACACACACACACACACACACACACACACACACACACACACACACACACACACACACACACACACACACACACACACACACACACACACACACACACACACACACACACACACACACACACACAAAGAACTTCCACATTCATTTACATTTCGCTGCATTCTCAAAACTCTAAACGTGTGACTTAAATCGATTCGTCCTGCTATTGATGGTCCCACTGCCTGCAGATTTGTGGGGTCTCAAAGTAAATAAACAGAGAAACAGAAGCTCCTCTTCATGGCTGTACACCCATTGAGGTTGAGATGTATGTTAAAGCTGTATTATGCTGTCAGTTATATACAGCTAGCTAGCTTTAGCGATTAGCTTCTGTATAGTTTCTCTGCTGTTCTTCTGCTAATCGGTGCGTGACGTGTTCAGGACCCCCTCCTTATCTCTCAGCCACATTTGGCACAGTACCACAATCTTGCAGTGTGAATAGCAGCACTGCGTGTGTGTTTGTGTGTGTTACAGTCACAAACACAATGTGCTATATCTAATGTGAATCAGCAATTGACTCTAAATGTTTTATGCATTTATTGTTGAGTAAATGTGTAAATTTAATTGATCAACCAGACCTCCTCTGTCAAATTAAGTCTAATACATTTTGAGTAGATAGATTGATTGTTGTCAGTTTTATTAAATTTTTTATAAAAAAAAAAAAAAGTTAAAAAAGTTTCAACAAAAATATGAAGCAGCACAACATTGATGATAATAAGAAATGTTTCTTGAGCAGAAAATTAGCACATTAGAATAATTTATGAAGGATCACGTGACACTCAAAACTGGAGTAATGATGCTGAAAATTCAGCTTTGATCACAGGAATAAATTACATTTGAAAATATATTACAATAGAAAAGAGTAATTTTAAATTGTAATAATATTTCACAACACTACTGTTTTTACTGCATTTCTGATCAAGCAAATACAAAAAAAAAATTTAAAAAAGAAAAACATAAAAAAAATCATGTTGACAGCAAACTTTCTGAATGGTACTATTTAGATTTATATTATGTTAATTTTGTTAATTTTGTGTTATCATATTATTTTGATATTATTTTGTCCCTCTGCCATTTTTGTGTGTATGTGTGTGGGGGTGTATTTATTAGTGGTCAACCAATATTGTTTTTTTTTTATATTCGGAGAGAATGGCGGCAGCTGGCCTATATAATGCTGAAATACAGTTGCAGGGGAAAAAAAAGTATGTGAACCCATTGAGTTTCTGCCAAGTCCCTTTAGTCATTTAGCTCGGCGGCCATCTTTGTTTGAAACGCCTCTCGGGCAGCTATTTCAGTCATACAAGTACAGCTCTTATCTCTTTGAATAGGGAAACATCAAATTCTCCAAAGCTGTTAAAGCTTTCAAATAAATGTCATATTTGAAATCAATCACCAATGAAATCTGACTAACAACTGTCCCATAAATTTGGTTTCTAAGCATATCCTCAGAAACAAAACAAAAAAAATTAATTTTTCAGGCTGGACCAGCTAATGCGCATGTGCAGTCATAATTTCTATAGAAACTCAAGCTTCAGTGACACGATGAATTTCCCAATTCCCGTTTGGCCCTTTTATTTAAAAGGCGGGACTTATTCTGCCATATTGTGCGTTACACTTTCTCCCATTCATAGTAATATGAGTGCACCAACTTTGTATATCTAAAGTCAGGGTTCTGCCCCACTGCCCAGTTCAGTTAATGACTTCCCAGACAGTGTTTTGTATGAAGGTACCTTCTAAGAAAAGTGGATTCAGACACTGAGGCAGAGCTGGCTAGCCTGGTTAAAACCAGACCATTGTCAGTTGTAACTGAGTTATGGTCTGGCAAAGCGTCATAGACAAATCATTTCCAGAGGGGCATCACCAACGGACGTTTAAAACCTAAAACCAATCAGAGCGATGAAGGAGATGACGTATGAAGGAGATGGCGGCGGAGAAACATCTCCGAGTGTTGTTCTTTTCTCGGTTTTTAACAAAAAGGAAACATTCAAATCGCTTAAAACAGACGCGATAGCTGATTCGAACGAGTGATGTTCGATGGCGGCATCCATCTTTGTAATGTAGGCTACAAAATCTGCTTCAAAATCCCAGCGCTCTCATCATCGTGTAAAGCCCGACCCAACGTTTCTGATTGGTGCCTCGATTTCGACGGATTGGAAATGGGCTTGAATGAGCTCTTTGCCAGACTAACTTTTAGAGCAAATCTAAATTTGCCTGAAGTTGTCTGGGTTTTCCCAGGCTAAGAGCTGGCACAATTCTGGATAAAATTGAGAATCACGATTTTTTTTGTTTCAAATAGAGATCATGATTCACTCACGATTCTGAACAGACAAACTAAACAAAATATCTGAAAATTTTTAATTGCTGTCGTCTATTTAAAAATGTTTAAAAATTAAAAATTAATTTAAAAGTGTTTTTTTATTTTAAAGAGAAAACTGTAAAAAAAAAAAAAAAAAAAAAATCTGAATCTGTTTCAATTAATGATTCAATGACTCGATTGAATGATTCACTTGTTTCATTTCTGGATGTATCATGGTTTTGAACGAATCTCTTGAATGAATGATACAATCCTTATTTGAAGCACCAAGTTACTTTCAAAAGTTGATTTGCTCTATTTCGATCTCTATGGTTGACATCACTGTTTAAGTTTATAAACTTTTATTCTAGTACTTTAGTGATAATTTGACTATTTGTCTCAGAAATAATGATACTGTGTGGTTGAAAATACTGTTTGTGAAGCTGTTTCATACCTTATTTCATACTTACTTATGCCCGTCACCCTTGCCATGGTATGGGGCGCCAACCAGAGATCTCCAGATCATTCTGTCTTTGGCCATTCATTCCAGCTGGTTCCAGGTGTAGCCCATCTTGGTGATGTCGGCTTCGAGGTCACGTCGCCAGGTGTTTCTTGGATGGCCTCTTCTCCTCTTTCCTTGGGGGTTCCACTTCAACGCCTGCCTGTTGATGTTGGTTGATGCTTTACGAAGAGTGAGCCCTATCCAGCCCCATCTTCTCGTCCTGATTTCTTCCTCTGCAGGAAGTTGGTGAGTCCTTTTCCAAAGGTTGATATTGCTGATGGCGTTAGGCCATCGGATCCGGAGAATTCTTCTAAGACAGCTGTTGATGAAGGTTTGAACCTTCCTGATGGTCATCTTGGTCATCCTCCAGGTTTCAGCTCCATACAGCAACACTGACTTCACGTTGGAGTTAAATAGGTGAATCTTTGTTGTCAACGACGGGTCTCTTGAGCTCCAGATGTTCTTGAGCTGTACGTAGGCCGCTCTTGCTTTGCCAATCCTTGCCTTGGCGTCTGCGTCTGTCCCGCCCTGTTGGTCAATGACACTGCCCAGGTAGGTGAAGGACTGAACTTCTTCCAGGGGACTTCCATTCAGCATGACTGGTTCCTTGCTTGAGGATTTTATATTTAGGATCTTGGTCTTATCTCTGTTTATGTTGAGGCCAATCTGAGATGAGATAGTTGACACTACATCTGTCTTCTCTTACATCTGCTGTTTGTTGTGGGAGAGAAGTGCAAGGTCATCAGCAAAGTCCAAGTCCTCGAGCTGGGTCCACGAGGTCCACTGGATTCTGTTTTTTTGCTCTCTTGTGGCTTCCTTCATAACCCAGTCAATGGGAAACAGGAACAGGAAGGGTGACAGCAGCCATCCTTGTCTCACACCAGTTTTCACCTGGAAGATGTTAGTGAGGCCATCCTTAAAAATAATCTTGTTTGCCGTAACCCGACCGACCCTGTCAATTTAGGACCGACCCAATTATTATTTATTTTTTCCTTTTAGTCCGACCGACTTGCCGGTTGTAAACTTGCGTTAAGACCGACCGATTTTACTCTTCAAACAACTAATACAAATGCAATAAAATAATATTAATTATGTTTTAGTAAGTATTGTGAATATAAATTGCCTAGGCCTACATGTAAACGTAGGCTACGTTCTTTCTTTTAAATAAAAACCTGTGGCGTCATCTATGATTATGTTTACAGTATTGGTTTACGCATGTCACACTATGGCCTGTACGTTCGCTTCGTTTCATTCACTGTCAATGGTTGAAGGTTCGCGCTTGGTAATGATGCCTGCGGATGTTGTTTTTCGAGAATGTTTCACTCCTGTTTGTCATTGTGCACGAAACTTCACGCCAATAAATCATCAGGAATATTGCTGACTTGTGCGCGTCTCAAGCGCCCTCTTTACGCTCTTCCTAATGCCTGTTAGTTGTCCACGGATTTGCCTATATTTGGCGTTGAAAATGTAAACATCTTTAGACATGCTGGAATTAATGCAATAAACATGTTTTTTGACAAAGATTTCAAATTGTTTGTGGTCTATATAACCTGCATCAGAATGAGGTTTATAATGGTACGCCCGAAGGCACGGGTTGAAGACCCAGTCAGTGACGTCACGATATGCAAGTTTGTCACCATGACCAAAATTTTACTTTTTTTTTTTTTTTACAAAAAAACATAACAAATTTTAATGCAAACCAAAATATTTTTAAGGATGGCCTGAGCTGCCCTCCATGGATGACTCTACAAGACATTCCATCATAAGATTTTCTTATCAGGTCGACCAACTTAACTGGGATGCCGTAGTGTCGAAGGAGCTTCCAAAGGGTCTCTCGATCCAAGCTGTCAAATGCCTTCTCATAGTCGACAAAGTTGATAAACGGGGTAATTCCACTCGAGGGACTGTTCGACTATGATGCGGAGTGTTGCGATCTGGTCCGTGCATGATCTGTTCTGCCGGAAGCCAGCTTGTTGATCTCGAAGATTTGTGTCAGCAATGTCTTTCATTTTCTCGAGGAGGATCTGATTGAAAACCTTCCCTGGTACAGACAGAAGTGTGAAGCCTCTGTAGTTTCCATAATTGCTGAGGTCACCTTTTTTAAGGGTCTTTACGAGGTATCCCTCTTTCCAGTTTGTCGAGAATCTCCTATTCTTCCCAGATCATCTCAAAGAGAGGATACAGCATCTCCACTGATGCATCCAAGTCTGCTTGCAGGGGCTCTGCTGGGATGTCATCAGGTCCAGCCCTCTTCGCATTCTTCAACCGAGTGATGGCTTTCTTGATTTCCTCTCTGGTTGGCTTGTTACAGTTGATGAGTAAGTCTGGCTGGGTCGATGTTTGGTGGATTTGGTGGAGCTGGTCTATTCAAGAGTTCTTCGAAGTGCTCGGCCCACCTCTTCATCTGCTGTTCGATCTCTTTGATGGTCTTTCCCTGTTTGTCCTTGACAGGTCGCTCTGGCTTGCTGAACTTTCCAGACAGTCGCTTGGTGATGTCATACATTTGTTTCATATTGCTGTTGTATGCTGCCTGCTCTGCTTCAGCTGCCAGTCCACTCGCATAGTATTTATTATCCTTCTTGATACTCCTTTTCACTGCTTTGTTTGCGTTTGCATAATCTATTTGAGCCTGGGCTTTTGCTGCTCTAGTCCTACTGCTATTGACCGCCGCTTTCTTCTTCTCCCTATCCTCTATTTTGGTCAAGTTCTCCACTGTAATCCACTCTTTATGCAGGTGTTTTCTGACTTCGAGTACTTCCTGGCATACTGATCTGAGTGCCTCTTTCACTGAGTATTTTGTCTTCTTCTTCTTCATGCAGTTCTTGCAGTACTTCAAACCTGTTCCTAAGCATCAGTCCGAACTCTGCCCTAGTTTTGGGGTCCTTCAGAAGGCTGATGTTGTATTTCACTCTTTTATTAGCCATGGCTGTCCAGTTCTTCTTCAATTTCAGCTTCATTCTGGCCACCACCAGGTGATGGTCGGACGCCACATCTGCTCCTCTTCTAACTCTAACATCCTGGAGGGATCTCCTAAACTTCTTACTTATACAGATGTGATCTATCTGATTCTCTGTCTTGCTGTTTGGAGATACCCAGGTGCTCTTGTGGATATGTTTGTGGGGAAAGATGCTACCTCCAATGACCAGGTTGTTGATTGCACACATGTCTGCAAATCTCTCTCCATTCTCATTCATAGTTCCCAGTCCGTGAGTCCCCATGACCTGCTCATATCCCGTGTTATTGGATCCAATCTTGGCACTGAAGTCACCCATAATGATAGTGATGTCTCGGTCTGGGAATGTTCCCAGGATCTTCTTTCATACCTATACATGAATGATTTCTCTGGGTCAGCGTGAGCATTGAATGTTCTGGTTTGATTTTGTCAAAGCTTCAATAGACACAGGCGAATCGTTGTCATTTAGGAATGAAATTGCATCAGTGTTTGAATAGTGATAGCGTTCTTTTAGAGCAACACCAAGTAACTTTTCCTCTGCGGTCGCCCTACAGGTTGGAAGCGGAATTGTCCATTACCGCTGTCGTAAATAATTTAGCCTAGCGCAGCCTACTGTCGCACACACACTCGTTGTTTATCCAGCACCGGTTTTGGAATGAACGATGTCCACAGACAAGGTAGAGTGTGTTGCATGATTTCATGAAAGTATGATGTATTGCGACATCAGAAACAAAGAAAAACAAAATAATGACTATTGTAACGCTTGACGTAAAGCAAGTCAAATTTGTAGTTTTCTTATGTCTCGTTAGAACTACAGAAACGCGACCCGATCTGGCAATCTTACATAGCGTGGTTATAGCAGATATAGGACCGCAAAGCGAATCCAGAAGTGCCTTTCACCCTGTTACGACTTAATGAACCACTAAAACGATTTTGGAAAAATTATTTTAAGGTAAAAATCTTACTTAGTGTTGCTTTAACGATTAATCATGCAGCTCTACTATGAGGTCATGTCTAGGCAAGGCAAGTTAAGTTTATTTATATAGCACATTTCATACACAATTGTAATTCAAAGTGCTTTACATAGAATAAATTAAAATAATCAAAAGAAATAAGAATAATTAAAACCGAATAAATAAAATAAAATACAGTACAAACAGTCGGACAAACAGTGGCATAGTGCTCATTCATTAAATGCAGCTGTGTCTAACCAGATGTCTAATGATCTAGAACAAATTTCAATGAGCTTAGGCATAACCAAGCAAATATCTAGTTCCTGCATTGTATATTTCGCAGTAGTAATTGAATCATAAGTTGAAAAGTACTGTATTAAAAAAATTGACATTTCACTGCATGCACAGCATTGTGGGATATGAGTTTAGGACACTTTCAAAAACCAAGAGAGATCTCAAAACCTTAAAAAGAAAATGTTTTGACTTGCAAGATGAAAAGGGTTTCGAAATCATCTCTGAATGCCATGACACATGGTGAAACAAACTGTCTATAAATGGAGAAAGTTCAGCAGCGCTGCGGGTGTTCTGCAAAGATTACTGATAGAGGAAGAGGACATCCACTGCTGCCCCAAAAAAAGCATCGCTGTACGTCTAAAGTGGGCAGAAAGTCACCTGGACAGCTTGCTGACATTGATGTGAAAATGAATTCCCAAGTTTATCAGATTCAGGACATTTTTTTCAGGAGACTAAAGGCCATCTGCCAGCCAGCTGAAACGGGACCCAAAGCACACAAGTAAATTAACCAATAAAAATATGCCACCTTGAGTGACCCAGTCTGAGTCCTGACCTCAGCCTGAATATTGCAGAACTGAAAGCTTTTTGTTTACTGGTTTAGAAAAGGTTACGCTGCCAAAGGACAGTCAATTGGATTCACATACTTTTCCCACTCACACTATGCATATTTGCTTATGCTGACTGTTTGTCTGTTGCTGATGAGTTGTTTGAGGATTGAGGATTACATGGTAAATACAAGGTTCAAATACAATTATTGAAATAATATGCACATGCATTTCTAGTATAGCATGCAATTTGTCTCCTTTAAAGTAAAGCTACTTATCAAAGCGCCACACACGTCTATTATCAATCCTTTAAGCACATCATATGATCAGCTGCACCTGCTGTGCACAAGCTTTTATTTTCCAGAGGGCTTGTTTACTGTCTGTCTTTCATCTAGAATAATGTCTTTGACACTGCGTGCTTTGTTCATTAGAGACGTGTATACTGTGTTTTGTAGGTAGCGGAGCCACAGCAGTCGTCCAGGCAGCTCTTTGTAACCCACGACAGGAGCGTGTGGCCATCAAGAGAATCAACCTGGAGAAATGCCAGACCAGCATGGATGAGCTGTTGGTGAGGAACAACATAAAAACAGCTGTGTCTACTCATGCAGGTTTTGCCATACATATGCATGTTAACACACACACACACACACACACTTACGTTGGGTTTCCATGTTTTATGGGGATTTTTACATAGACATAATGGTTTTTATACTTTACAAACTGTATATTCTATCCCCCTACACTAACCCTACCCCTAAACATACACATCACAGAAAACTTTCTGCAATTTTAGATTTTCCAAAAACATCATTCTGTATGATTAATATGCTTGTTTCCTCATGGGGACCAAAAAAATGTCCCCACAAGCCAAGGTCAAAATTTATTGGTATTACTATACTTGTGGAACATTTGATACCCATAACGTAGGGGAATACGTTATGGGTATCACCCCCCCCCCCCCCCCCCCCCAACACACACACACACATACACACACACACACACACACACACACACACACACACACACAACACTATATGGAATCGCAAAGAGTTAAAGGTGAATTGCAATTTGTTTGTTTGAGCAGCCTGACTGGACCGGGCAGAGCAATATTGGATCGACCAATGACATCAGTTTGGGGCCTGTCATCATTTGCTTCCAGAAGTATTTTTTTCCCATTCATTTTCCTCTTTCATCATAGGCATTCCAAAATAATCTTAAATAAAGAGCCAAACTAACCCAGATAAATCACAACTTTATAACCTCTGATTTAAATCAGAAAATTAAAATTAAAAAAAGTATGGTGAATGATGTATTCGAGTCAGAAATTATGCGTGCAATATGTATACATTGCTCTGTATTTGAAGATAACTGTGAAATATTTTAAAGAAATTGACTGAAAGAAATGTAAATTAGTATTGAAAGAAACTAATATTTTTATTCAGAAAGGATGCATATTTATCAAAAGTAACAGTTAAGATATAATAAAACATTTCTATTTCAAATACATGCTGTTTTTTGAACTTTCTATTTAATCAACAAAAATAAAGTAGCAGATAAGAAATATTTCTTGAGTAGTAAATCATCATATTAGAATGATTTCTGGAGGATCATGTGACACTGAAGACTGGATTAATGATGCTGAGAATTCAGCTTTGATCACAGGAATAAATTATATTTTAGAGGTATTTTAAATTGTAATAATATTTCACAATATTACTGTTTTACTGTGTTTTTTGATCAAATAAATGCATCCTTGGTGAGCATAAGAATCTTCTTCCAAAATATTGTAAAAATGGTACCAAACTCAAACCTTTGAATGGTAGTAGAAGTTGACTGAGACTCGTTTACTTCGTTCGCAATGCTTCATGGGAGTGGGAGATTGCTCTTTTTATTTCGGAAAATCTGTTTCAGAAACATTAATTTGAAATCATCCTGACTTATTGCTTCTTTAGAGGTATCAGATGATATTATGTTTTAAAATACTTTAAATCAGACTACTTTTTCATTGATTACATAATGACATGTTATTAAATTCAATTATTCATAATTCCTTGATTCTCCCTACTACTAATTTTCTATCTTTAAATTTTTCCTTTCTAAAATATACATCTGTTCAGAAGGTCTTCCAGGTTTGTTGAATTGCACACACAGACCCGCACAGTATTTGATCACTGGATTTACAGAAATCATTTCACTTTTAAGTGTTTTCTCAACATTTCAACATTGCATATCTAATCAACTCCTGACAAACACATTCATTATTATTTGAATTATGACTCGGTGAGTCATGTTTTACTGTCTCTGGAAGGCTTTTGACTTTCAAACACATACAAATTTCCAAATTCACGTCTTACATGCAATGCAGAGATTCCCCAACTTTCTTGTCAGCTGAACTTTTTTGACCTGATATATTTACTTGAAGTAAGTTAATAAGTTAGGTCAATAATAAAATTAAACATGTATGATTTCAAAACTTCAACAAACACTTCACATTTAATCATTTTGAGTGAATAAATGACTTGTTAATGTGCATGTGCTTTAAACGTACAATGTAAGTGTTTCAAAAGTCAATTAAATCATTAATCACAATTTTTTGTAGGATGATTGATCATTAGCCAACACTTATAGTTGTGACTGGCCTAGTTTCTCATGAATGTGTTTCATATCTGTCAAAGACACACGTTACATGCTTTTCTCACAGCGCGCTTTCCCTACTGTAATCATGCGCGCACACACACACACACACTCACACACACACACACACACACACCCAGCAGGCCTTTCACTCCGACACTCATGACTGAGTTGTTTTCCATTGATCTTTGTTTTGGTGCAGAGAGACTGGAAACTGATGGTTTGATTAATGACTATTCTGCCGCGAAAACAAGTTTATTCCCGGAGATGGGAATCTGCTATAAACATCTCTCAGATTTACTCTCAAATTGGCTGACACAGAAATATGGGTTTGTGTAAATTTATGCTGAACCCAGGCATACATACAGATTTGGATCTTGCAGGTTTTTTTCTAAAGCCTTATATTATTCTAATATGTGAAATTACTTCATCAATTGTATGTTGTTGACCTGCAAGCAACATAGCATTTTTACGCATGAACTGAAAAACAGCTTTAGTACTGAAGCATTGATTAGCACTTCACATGTCGAGGATAAGAGTTTACATTTGTCTGATATTTTCAGAAGTAAAGATTCCTTATTAAATGAGGATCAGGTAGTCCGAGCTGGTGTGAGTGAGTGGAGGCGGAGACTAATTTGCATATTAATGTATCCGCGTATACTAAATGAATGGAAAAAAAACCCCCCATTTGATTATTAATGTATTTTTAAAACTACATTTAAAGTCCCCCTGCAGTCAATAACTTTATCCAAAAGTCATCTTTGATAATCCAAAATATAATATTTAAAGTTTTTTTTCCTCTTAAAATAATTTGTTCATGCCTTAACATAGCTTGAATAGTGTAGAGTTACATTACACTCACCGGCCACTTTATTAGGTACACCTGTCCAACTGCTCGTTAACACTTAATTTCTAAGCAGCCAATCACATGGCGGCAACTCAGTGCATTTAGGCATGTAGACATGGTCAAGACAATCTCCTGCAGTTCAAACCGAGCATCAGTATGGGGAAGAAAGTTGATTTGAGTGACTTTGAACGTGGCATGATTGTTGGTGCCAGAAGGGCTGGTCTGAGTATTTCAGAAACTGCTAATCTACTGGGATTTTCACGCACAACCATCTCTAGGGTTGACAGAGAATGGTCCGAAAAAGAAAAAACATCCAGTGAGCGGCAGTTCTGTGGGCGGAAATGCCTTGTTGATGCCAGAGGTCAGAGGAGAATGGCCAGACTGGTTCGAGCTGATAGAAGGGCAACAGTGACTGAAATAACCACTCGTTACAACCGAGGTATGCAGCAAAGCATTTGTGAAGCCACAACACGCACAACCTTGAGGCGGATGGGCTACAACAGCAGAAGACTCCACCGGGTACCACTCATCTCCACTACAAATAGGAAAAAGAGGCTACAATTTGCAAGAGCTCACCAAAATTGAACAGTTGAAGACTGGAAAAATGTTGCCTGGTCTGATGAGTCTCGATTTCTGTTGAGACATTCAGATGTTAGAGTCAGAATTTGGCGTAAACAGAATGAGAACATGGAACCATCATGCCTTGTTACCACTGTGCAGGCTGGTGGTGGTGGTGTAATGGTGTGGGGGATGTTTTCCTGGCACACTTTAGGCCCCTTAGTGCCAATTGGGCATCGTTTAAATGCCACGGCCTACCTGAGCATTGTTTCTGACCATGTCCATCCCTTTATGGCCACCATGTACCCATCCTCTGATGGCTACTTCCACCATGTCACAAAGCTCTAATCATTTCAAATTGGTTTCTTGAACATGACAATGAGTTCACTGTACTAAAATTGCCTCCACAGTCACCAGATCTCAACCCAATAGAGCATCTTTGGGATGTGGTGGAACGGGAGATTCGCATCATGGATGTGCAGCCGACAAATCTGCGGCAACTGTGTGATGCCATCATGTCAATATGGACCAAAGTCCCTGAGGAATGCTTCCAGCACCTTGTTGAATCTATGCCACGAAGAATTGAGGCAGTTCTGAAGGCAAAAGGGGGTCCAACCCGTTACTAGCATGGGGTACCTAATAAAGTGGCCGGTGAGTGTATGTTAAGGCATGAACAAATTATTTAAAAAGGAACAAAAAAAGTTTCAATATTATATTTGGATTATGCAAAAGATGACTTTTGGATAAAGTTATTGACTGCAGGGGGACTTTAAATGTAGTTTTAAAAATACATTAAAAATCAAATGTTTTCTTTTACTAATCATTACCATGTACAGTATATACATCAATATAACAATACATGGTAACAGATCAGAAACATTTATATGAATATTATTGAAACATTTAAATTAGGGCTGTCAAATGATTAATCGTGATTAATCACATCCAAAATAAAAGTTTTTTTTACATAATATATGTGGGTGCATTGTGTATAATTATTTTATATATATATAAATACACACACATGCTTGTATATATTTAAGAAATATTTTCATGTATATACTGTATATAGATTTATATATAATTTATATTATATATAAATATAAATATTTTATATATAAATTATATATTTTTCTTAAATATACATGCATGTGTGTGTATTTATATATATACAAAATAATTATAAACAGTGCACCCACATATATTATGTAAAAAAAACTTTTATTTTGGATGTGATTAATCGTGATTAATCATTTGACAGCCCTAATTTAAATACATTTAGAGAACTACATTTTTTAATGATGGCTCAAATAAATAGTTTAATCAAATTGAATAAATGTTTTTATGCAATGGACTGTAAGAACTGAGTCATGTACATTTGCATTAATTCATTTAGCAGACACTTTTATCCAAAGTAAGGAGCAAAAGCAATTTGTTTTAAAAAGCCAACAATATACATGACATTACAGTAATGAGAATTGATTTTTTTTTTCTAATAGGGTAATGAAAATTGGAGGATAAATGTGTTTAATTGGTATTAACATGTTTTAGAAGTCAAACAATTCATAGTCATAAACATGGGCTTAATTTCCTTCTTTTTTTATTTTGGGGTGAAAAATGACCTGAACATACCTGATTTTGTGAGATTTATTCTGTTGGTGAATGGTGTCTTTTATAAATCAGTTCAAGAACTTCTCTCTTTCTACCATTGGTTTCTACCATTGCAATCACGTTGATGTGCATGCATTATAAAGCACATAGACATAATTAAAGACGTGCATTATAAAGCTAGACACCTCCATCTGTCTCCACAGAAAGAGATCCAAGCCATGAGCCAGTGTAACCATCCAAACGTGGTCACATACTACACTTCATTCGTTGTGAAAGATGAACTTTGGCTCGTCATGAAACTCCTGAGTGGAGGTGAGAGGAATCGGTTAACAGTTACAACCACAAAGTCTTATTGTATTCATTTTTAACACTAGATGTATTGTTTTATCATATGCTTATGAAATGTTTTGCCTGAAAAGTGTGGTTGTGTTTTTTTAAATGTCATTTTGATTTGATAATGTTGTCCAATGCTCAGTTTGTGTGTCCAAATACTATTTGTGGCAACTGTATGTGTTATATGCATGTATATTTTGTAGATTTGCATGTGTTTTGTGTGATTACAAGGCTTTTTATTCATCCAGGATCAGTGTTAGACATCATTAAGCACACGTTCATCAAAGGAGAGCATAAAAACGGTGTCCTAGATGAATCCACAATAGCAACCATTTTGAAGGAAGTACTGGAGGGATTAGATTATCTCCACAAAAATGGGCAGATTCACAGGTAAGGAAAAATCTATTATTGTCACTATTCCACTATGTAACCCTCCAATCACAGGCCATTTGCTTCTAGTTTTCCTGGTTAGTGGTATCAAAGTGGTAAGAAAAATACTTTAAAACACCTACTAAGTACTACTAAGTAAATACTATATTTCACTTTGGCCCTGTTTACACCTGGTATTAAAGGGTTAGTTCACCCAAAAATGAAAATTATCCCATAATTTACTCACCCTCAAGCCATCCTAGGTGTATATGACAATCAGTTACAGTAAAAATATCCTGGCTCTTCCAAGCTTTATAATGGGAGTGAATAGAGCCTGACATTTTGAAGCCCATAAAAGCGCATCCATCCATCATAAAAAAAATCCATATGGGTCCAGTGGGTAATAATGCCTTCTGAAGCAAAGCAATGTGTTTTTGTAAGAAAAATATCCATAATTAGAACTTTATAAACTAAAATGACTGGCTTCTGGTTACGGCTACATGCGAGTCTAGTTCCGGCGGAAGAGTGACCTCTGACCCGACGCATGACAAACAAAACACCAGTCACGAATTAGTCTAATAAGTCTAAAACGAGAAATTTAAAGAGAAATGTCGGAGGAGCTTGAGTTTGTTATTTGTTTGAACTGCGAGACGCGTCTACTCTTACCTAAGCTTATGCTACGCCTAAGTCCTAAATCGTACGCTGGAACTCGACTCTTTCGTGAACGCATGAACGGACGTTACCAGAAGCTACTGATTACAGTTTATAAAGTTTTAAATATGGAGAATTGTCTTACAAAAACGCATGGCTTCTCTTCAGAAGGCCGTTATTAAAGGATTAGTTCACTTTAAAAAAAACTTTTGCTGATAATTTACTCACCCCCATGTCATCCAAGATGTCCATGTCTTTCTTTCTTCAGTCGAAAAGAAATGAATGTTTTTGATGAAAACATTCCAGGATTTTTCTCCATATAATGGACTTTACTGGGCAGCAAACGGTTCAAGGTCTAAATGTCCGTTTCAGTGCAAACTGCAAACTGTTCAAAGGGCTTCAAACGATTCCCGACGATGAATAAGGGTCTTATCTAGAGAAACGATCGGTCATTTCAAAAATAAATAAAAAAGTTAAAGTTTTATAGGCACAAATGCTCGCCTTGCGAACTCTCCTGTTCGAACTCGTTCATCAAAATGAACGAGTCAATGACTCGAAAAAAGATTCGTTCATTTTGATGAACGAGTTCGAACAGGAGAGTTCGCAAGGCGAGCGTTTGTGCCTATAAAACTTTAACTTTTTTATTTATTTTTGAAATGACAGATCGTTTCTCTAGATAAGACCCTTATTCATCGTCTGGTATCGTTTAAAGCCCTTTGAAGCTGAACTGAAACGGTCATTTAGACCTTGAACCGTTTGGCTACCATTGAAGTCCATTATATGGAGAAAAATCTACTTTTTTCAAAAGTTTTTTAAAAAGTGAACTACTCCTTTAACACCCTCTATGGATTACTTTAATGATGGATGGATGTGCTTTTTTGGTCTTCAAAATCTCAGGCTCTATTCACTCCCGTTATAAAGCTTGGAAGAGCCAGGATATTTTTTTTTTATATAACTCTGATTGTGTTTGGCTCAAAGAAGAAAGTCATATACACCTAGGATGGTTTGAGGGTGAGTAAATGATGGGATAGTTTTCATTTTGCGGTGAACTAACCAATCCGAACTAACCGTTTTGGTCAATCGGATCACAAGTATACGAGAGAGACACATTCCCGTTTACACCTGGTGTTTTAATCCGTCTCTTTTGTCCACTTTCGTCCACTTCTGTCCTGATTTCTTCGAGGGGAGGGTCTATGGGTGGGTAAATGAATGGGCTCTAATTGACAAAATAAGCTTGTGCAATTTACATATGAACACGACCGGAGACATGGAAAAACATACGGAGAACATCAGCTTTAGTTTCTTATCTGACAGCCACAAGACCAGCCGAACTCTGTGAGTGAGTGTTAGTAATCAGGAATGATGAGAGAACATTGTGCTTTCGTCTTCAAACCAAACTTGGGTCTCCAGCCGACAGTTTAAATCGAACGTGGTCTAAAGTGGACAAACTCAAAGCTTTTTAGACCCCGTTTACACCTGTATTTATCGTCGTCCACTTGTGATCCGATCGACTAAAATGGATCTTAATACCAGGTGTAAACATGACATGACTTGAAGATTAGTTAGTGGCATCAAAGTTTTGACAGATACTCAAAAGAGGTTTTTTTTAAAACACCTACTTGGTAAATACCAAGTAAATTAGACATCCATGAACATAACTGCATATTTCACTTTGTTTTATGAGTTATATTTGGGAGGACATCAATTTGGATTTAATTCTGATGAAGTTTACACACATTCTCTGTAGTAAGACAGACACTCTTGGTCCAAATAGGATGCAAAGTGGCCAGACTTTATGCTGACAGTCAAACGTCTGGTTTTGTGAAACTAGAGTAAAATATGCTTTAATTAAATTCCTCTGCATGTTAAGTGCTGAAAAATACTAATGTGGTATTTTCCCTCCAGGCCATCACTGCTGTAATAATGGTCTGAAAAATTCATAAACATGCGGATTCATTCTTCAGCCACTGGCATTTTTGTTAATGTGTAAGATTATAATAAACCGTGACATGTGTGTGCTTTGTCTTGCTTGGTTTGACCTCAGGGACGTGAAGGCTGGTAATATTCTACTGGGAGAAGATGGATCGGTGCAGATCGCAGGTTTGTAACTTTGCTTGCCTTTGACTTTACTGAAACTTTAACGTAGATTTACTGAAATGTTTTGTTCCTTTTTGTATTAAAGTTAGTTAATACTTAGTAAGTTAAACCACCAACATCTTGTCAGTTTTTCATGGGGCAGTTAAATATTAGATTGGCTCAACAACAAATCAGCAGCTTGCAGATGAATAGGCTACTTTATCTTATTTCACATGCAAAGTGAGGATTTACATAGATGTCTTAAAGAGAAAAAACTTGTGTTATTTCGACATCAAAGAGTATTTAACTTTCAACCAGCTTAGGACAACATGCTAAAACTTGCTAGCAACATGTAATGTTGTAAACATGTAAACAACAAGCAATGTGTTAAAACATTCTAGTCGCAGGTTAAATTAATGTTAACAATTGGCTAATTCATGTTACCAACAGTGTTGGGCAGTAACGCGTTACTGTAACGCAGTTACTTTTGACAGTAACTCATACTGTAACGCATTACTTTTTAAATAAATTAACTCCGTTACCGTTACCATATGGTGCGTTTGTCCGTGACTTTTTAAAATTAATTAATTTTGGCTGAAGTGTAGCCTACAGCCTAACCTGTTTAAAGCAGCAACGCATTGTTGGTGGTAGGGTTGCCACCCGTCCCTTAAAATACGGAATTGTCCCATATTTACAAGTAAAATGACGCGTCCGTATCAAATCAATAAGGGACGCGATTTGTCCCGTATTTTACATAAGGCCCACACATAGCCTAGTTGGATAAAAACATGGGCTTTACTGTACTAATAGCAAATAGCCTATAAATAAATCAATTTCACAATAATGTTACATTATGATTAGAATCAAATGAATTTTGTCCATTTTCTAAGCTTAGAAAATGCACATTTATACAGGCTGAATTTTATAGGCCTAAAATAAATATTGTTTAGTAATTATGTGAATTACCCTGCGCAAACTACTACCCACCGAATGAAGAAGGGTTGGCTCTCAGTCTCCACAGAACAAAATATTCATTTTATTTTATTTTTAGTGTTTGCATTTATGAGGAAAAAACAATGTTACGGACGTGACAGTTCTCCGTTACGGAAGCGACGCGCTCTGAAAGCGGCACTAAAAGATGCTTTAATTCTTGCAGAGACATCAAACAGAAAGCTCAAAACCTTTCTTTAAAGTGAATTTTGTTTTGTATTAATTGTATTTTAATTTTAATCAATGTTTCATCAACCAATTGCCTGGATTTAATAAATAAGAAGTAAATATAGCAGACGATAGATAATCACGAAATGGAGGTGCCGGCGCGTGAACTGGAGCTCGTCTCATAAATGAACCGAAACTCGGCGTATAAGGTAACCTACTTGCCTCACATACATGTCTACTTTTGAACAGAACAATTCAAAACGACAGAAAACAGACTACAAACTGCTCTCTGCTTATGTAATCCGTATGAAATGTGCATTTCTCTCTGGCACGTCTACTGCGAAGATCGCGAGTCAGCATAGTGAGTCACCTCAGAAATCCGTGTGAGATATTCAGTTTGTGCTGGTCTGACTCAAATAAAATAGTGTTTAAAAATTACTTTCTTTAAAACTTAAGTCAGTTTTGTGTTTGTATAGACCATAACGCATAAAAGGGCATTAATGGGAACAGTAAAGAATGTTTTTTTTTTAAAGTAACTAAAAAGTTACTTTTAACAGTTACGCATTACTTTTTGGTGTAAGTAATCAACAAAGTAATTGAGTTACTTTTTGAATGAAGTAACTAGTAACTGTAACTAGTTACTATTTCTTAGTAACTAGCACAACACTGGTTACCAACATGCTAATTCATGCTAGCAGCGTGTTAAATCATGTTTACAATGTGTTAAAACATACTAGCCACATGCTAATATATGCTAGTAACGTGTTGAAACATGCTGACGTAAATTAATGGTAGCAAAATGTTAGCAACATGCTAATTCATGTTAATAACAACTTGCTAAAACATGTTAGCAACATGTTAAATCATGTTAACAATGTGTTAAAACACTATCAACATGCTAATATATGCGAGTATTGTGCTAATCTAGCATGTTAAAACATTAGCAATATGTTAGCAATGTGCTGTCATACTCGTTCACGCTAGCAACATGCTAGCTAAAACATGTTAGAGACATTTTTATCAATTTGGTAAGACATGCTAGTAATATGCTAATTCATGTTGACTTGTTAAAATGCTTGCAACATGTTATTAAATACTAGCAACGTACTAAAACTTGTTAAAAACATGCAAAAAAATCTAAATAATACTAGACACATACCACGACATGATAAAACATGATAAAACTTGTTAGCACCATGATAAAACATGCTGAAAGCTTATAAAATGTATAGAAGTCTTTGTCAACATAAAAGTTTGTCCCAACGAACTTCACTTTCTAGTTTTAAGAGATAGATAGATAGATAGATAGATAGATAGATAGATAGATAGATAGATAGATAGATAGATAGATAGATAGATAGATAGATAGATAGATAGATAGATAGATAGATAGATAGATAGATGTTTTATAAAAAAAACTTAACATTATACATGGACCTCAGGGGAAAACATAAAATGATATATATAAAAGATGTACGTCTTATAATATATTATACATTTCTTTGTTGCTCTTAACTGATTTTGACCAACACATTCTTAATATTCAGTCGCATAATTATTTCAGCCTTTTAAGAGCTAATTTATTTATTGCCATGAGGTAATTAAGTTTATTTAGCTGTAAAAATCCTGTTTTAATTAAAATTGGTTGTCACTCTAAAAAGCAACATTTATGGGCCTTAAGAGAGATTAAACCATGGTAATTAACTTTAATTATGCTAACTATAAAAGCAATAAAAAGCAGTGATTTAATCAGTCAGTCAAGCCGCGTAAATTTTTCTTTTCCGTCAAGAAAGTTAATTATGTTTTGATTATTAAATGATTAAATGATAATATATTCTCCACTTTTGTTCTCTGTTACATTTTGTTTTGTGAATTTGCAAGTTCAAGTCACATGAAGGAGAGCAGACAAACAGGCCTGAGATACATTGATCGTATTGTGGGGAAGTGTTAAATTCCTGAAATGGGGCTTTTTCCGTCCCTGGAGGGAAACTGGCTGATCTAGTTCTGGAATATTGATTGGTTTTATGTAACAGGGGTTTCCACCAGTGACCTTGGTTTGCCTTTGTTGAGATTGTAGTTCACATCAGAGCTTTTTCTATTGAAATGTTTGACAGACACATTTATAAAACGTTTACACACACACACACACACACACACACACACACACACACACACACACACACACACACACACACACACACACACGCACGGCTGAATCTCATAAAAAAAATTAAGTGTCCAGGTTAAATTTCTACCCCCCTCCCCCCTAAAAAAAATGTGCATACAAAAATTAAGCCTATTTTTCCATTGTGAAATAATTTACTTTATTTGTAAACCTTTTCTTAAACTATCACATTTTTACTTTTGAGGTTTTTGTAATTCCCATTATTTTCAATGATGATTCTAATTAGGTTATCTCTCTCTCTCTCTTTTTTTTTACTGTTACATTTTTTTAAATGCTGTCATCCAATTACCTTAAATCATGATTGAATGAAACAGTGAAACCTTTCAAGACCTTAAACATGCATCTTCACTCATTCATAAAAAGTTTAACCTATAATCTTGATCATGCTATGCATCAACTACCAATGAATACTTTTGAAATAATATATCATTATTTTTCAGCAATAAAGTTATCGAATTTTTTTTTTTTGAAACTAAAAATGTGTCATTTGGACAGTATTTTCACAGAAAATATTAAATGTGTTAATTGTCGTACATTACTGTAGAACTCGTTTGCTTTAGACACAATACAGTTGTTTTCTTAGATTTTTTGTGGTGTAGGTAAACTGGAAAATGTTTTCATGAGGATCCAATCACAAATACATAAATCTTTTCAGATTTTTAAATTGTAATAAAAATATTTCACAAGCGACATTAATTGCCCTAAAAATATGCTTTATTTTTGTTATGCAAAATATTATTTTTGCAGTAAAATATTGACCCTGACATGTTTTTTGTCATTGTTTTAAAAAAAATGAGATTTACCTTTTGTGTGTGAAAACGTTTTTTAAATCTATCTGTCAAACATTTCAATAGAAAAAGCTCTGATGTGAACTACAATCTCAACAAAAAAATGTGATTCTGATTGTGAAGGATAGACATACAGTCTCTGTTTAGATTTTTTGGAAAGACATGTTTTCAGTGTTTGACTGAACGAACACATTTATCAGACTGTATGTCTATCTTTCATGTGCATGCATGTCAAATTGAATATCCTTTTAAACATTTACTTTCAGCCCTTCAACCCATGTTTCAATAGATGTTATTTGTGCATGATCCTTTGATGAGGTTGTTACTCATTTGAAACGGTTGACTCTGTAGATTTCGGTGTGAGTGCTTTTCTGTCCACCGGTGGAGACGTCACTAGACACAAAGTGAGGAAGACGTTTGTTGGGACCCCGTGCTGGATGGCCCCGGAGGTGATGGAGCAGGTGAGTGTCAAGTCAAGTCAAATATATTTATATAGCGCTTTTCACAATACAGATTGTATCAAAGCTGCTTCACAGTATCAATCAAAACAACTTAACAGTGTTTGTTTATTACTGGAAAAGACATCCAAGTTTGGTAGAGCTGATCAGTGGTATGATGGGTCATTTAATGTGAATATCCCCAACTGAGCAAGCCAAAGGCAACAGTGGCAAGGAACCGAAAAACTCCATCAAGTGACCCGATGGTGTCCTAAAACTCCATCAGATGACCCAATGGAGAAAAAAAAAACCTTGGGAGAACCCAGGCTCAGTCGGGGCCAGTTCTCCTCTGGCGTTTATGAAGTAGAGGCCGAATTTACAGTAACTGTCAGATTAAAAATGTATATGAATGCCTGGCTAAATAGATGCGTCTTTAGTCTAGTTTTAAACTGGGAGAACGAGTCTGAGCAACGAACAATATCAGGAAGGCTATTCCAGAGCTTCGGAGCTAAATGTGAAAATGCTCTCCCTCCTTTGGTGGATCTGGATATCCTAGGAATGACCAGAAGCCTCGAATTTAGTGATCTTAAAGAGCGCGATGGATTATAGGGCGATAGAAGATCCGTTAAATAGACTGGAGCTAAACCATTTAGAGCTTTATAAGTCAAAAGCAATACTTTGTAATTAATACGGAACTTTATAGGTAACCAATGAAGTGATGATAGAATCGGTGTTATATGATCATATTTTCTTGATCTAGCAAGAACTCTAGCGGCTGCATTTTGGACTAACTGTAGCTTGTTTATTGAAGATGCAGGACAACCAGCTAATAAAGCATTATAGAGAACCAATAACTGTCACCTGCCCGTATATGGGCAACCTAAATTTACTTCACTATATTACTATTAAATCCTAATCTAGTCATGACAAACTATATATATCGTTGGAAAGGTCTAAGACTCCTAAATAGATATTTTAGCGCTGTTTTTTTCTTACAAATTATGAATGAACAGTAATATATGAATTTATGACAAGAGTGCGCCTCAAAAAATCGACGTCATTACAGGAGTTTCTGACCTTTGTCACAAAAAGTCGACGCACACACTTTTAATAATCGAAACTTTGTTTTTTAGTGCTAAAAGTTCATAATAAAACATAATCTAGTATTTGTCAATAAAAAAAGATAAAATTATATTTTAAAAAGTAAAGTAAGAAGTCCTCTAAAAAGTATAATATATTATATATATATATATATTTTTTTTTTATTATTATTATATCACATATTTTAGTAGTTATCATAAATTAGGTATCATTTGAAAGCTTACGAACTCAGAATTCATCCTGTGAAAACCGTTTTGGAATTGGACATTGCGTTACCATAGAAACGATATTTTTTATTAGGCCCCTCCCCTTTTGGGCATCGTCTTTCATAATTTATTATCAAAACCTTTTCTAATCTTGACAAAACACATATTGTCAGAAAGGTCTGAGTCTCAAGGTTCCATATTTAGTGACAGAATTGATATTTGGATAGAAATGTATTAATTTGTTATGGCAGAATGCATTCAATTATATTCAATGGAATTCAATGGCACCCGGTGGCTATTTTTGGTATAACGCCTAAACAAAATTTCATGGGAACTTCAGTTTTTGTGATATCAACTTTACATTTGGAACACAACTTGGTTAGATATATAGCTTTCATTTTATAGTAATTTTATAGTAAAAAATATTTTGTAAAATATTTATTTTATTAAAAAAAATATATTAATAAAGTTTATTTGATTTACTGTAAATTATAACTTCCATAACTTTTTCATACTTTAATTTTTTGAAGTGCTTTCATTTCAGTAATAATCTGCTGATTGTTTTCTTTAAAACAAGGCCAAACTTAGGTCTATATTCCAAAGCATTCTTGAATTACAACCATTTAAGGTTGTATAGTGCATTTTAATGTCAATTATCAAAAGGGGGGTGACAGGTAAAGGGTTAAAGTGTACATACTGTAGTAAGATAGTCTATTTGGGGCTCATTTTAAAGCAGCATTAAATGTATCCTTATAAGACATGAATAGGTCAATCCCAGTATGCATTACCATTGACATCAATAGCATAATCCATCAAAGATAGTGGACAAAGCAAGACATGTTGATTATTCCATACTGAAATGTATCAATATCAAACACTACCGTTTTTACACATTTTAAAGTACATTCTTATGTTCACCTAGGCTGCATTTATACCATAAAATAGTAATCTTTAATATAAAATGTCTTTACTGTCATTTTTGATCAATTTAATGCATCCTCGCTGAATAAAAGTTTCTGAATTAGTTTCTTAAATATAATTAAAATCTACTATTTTACCCAATATTTATGTGTGCTTTTTATTTTTATGCTTATTAGACTATCATGCCGTTAGAACAGCGATATGATAACTGAATACTGATACTGATACTTAAGCATAATTGCTGAAGAAGAAAGATGCTCACTTGGTTTTGTAACAAAGCAAGATGTTTCTTTCATCTACTGTAAAATGACGGACCTTGGAACCATGAAAGTGTTCACAGCTAGCCTATTTCTAAGAGCTTTTCCGATACTGAATTATTAATAACCATTAAACTATTATAGAACAGATCATGGAGATTAAGGTTAAAGTTAAAGTCGGCATAACATGAAAGTTGAAATAGTCTTTTCTTCTCTAATGTGACATATATCCAAGTGAAACGGCTTCTTGAACAACATCAATTTGATTTGATTTGATTCGGAACTTGATTTTGTCCGTGGGGAATTGATCGGATGGTTGTGGTTTGCTATTGATGGATCTCGTGTGAGTGACAGGTTGTCCCGCCCTCGTCATCAATGAGCAAGAGGGAGGGGAGGTTATTTAGGTTAAAGATTACGAGGGCAAATGAATAAAAAAACAAAAACAATGATGTGCACGGATCAATCATTTATAATAAATACTGCAGTTTTCCTGTAGCCTGGTTAAAACCAGACCATTCTCAGTTGTAACTGAGTTATGGTCTGGCAAAGCGTCATAGATAAATCATTTCCAGAGGGGTGTCACCAACGGACGTCGCGGAGAGACCTAAAACCAATCAGAGCGATGAAGGAGATGACGTATGCAGAGCCGAGTGTTGTTCTTTTCTCGGTTTTTAACAAAAAGGAAACGTTCAAATCGCTTAAAACAGACACGATAGCTGATTCGAACGAGTGATGTTCGACGGCGGCATCCATCTTTGTAATGTACAAAATCTGCTTCAAAATCCCAGCGCTGTCGTCATCGTGTAAAGCCCGCCCCAACGTTTCTGATTGGTGCCGCGATTTCGGCGGATTGGAAATGGGCTTGAATGAGCTCTTTGCCAGACTAACTTTCAGAGCAAATCTAAATTTGCCGGAAGCTGTCTGGGTTTTCCCAGGCTACAGTTTTCCATAAATTTTTTTTTGTTGATTTCATGGTGACTTTAATCATTTGATTTCTGCTGTGGGAAAAAGCAGCTGTTTATGGCTGATGTGGGTCATAGTTTGCCATTCCATCAACTGATGTCAGTTAGCATATGTCATGTGACTGCAGGTACGGGGTTACGACTTCAAAGCTGACATTTGGAGTTTCGGAATCACTGCCATTGAACTTGCAACAGGCTCTGCGCCGTATCATCGGTACCCCCCTATGAAGGTAAACGGGACAGCTGCCTATTCCTGTGATGATTTGTGCTGTGTGTTTTGGTGAAAACCCTGTTTTTATAACAGTTACACAAGGTAAATCAAGTGTTGGTGGTTTATTTTAATTGTCTGTACTGTCGATTTTAAAGGGTTAGTTCACCCAAAAATGAAAATTCTGTCAGTAATTACTCGCCCTCATGTTGTTCCAACCCTGTAAGACCTTCGTTAATCTTCGGAACACGAATTAAGATATTTTTGATGAAATCTGAGAGCTGGATCACTCCTCCATACTAGTCCATAGGCTTCTTCAGGGATTGAACTTGCCGGCCTCGAAAACTTATTAAAGACATCGTTAAAATAGTCCAAGTGACTACAGTGGCTCAATCTTAAGTTTATCAAGCGACGAGAATACTTTTTGTGCGCAAAAACAAACAAAAATAACGACTTTATTTCAACTATTCATTTCCTTCTCTGTGGGCCTCGAGTCAGTTAACGTAGTGTGATTCAGTAGAGCTACGTCACACGTAGGCTCACTATTGGCCGACGCTGGTCATGTGGGTGATGCGTGTGACGTACAACAACAGGAGCTTACGCTATTACACTAGTGAACTGACTCGAGGCCCACAGAAAAGGAAATGAAAAGTTGAAATAAAGTCGTTATTTTTGTTTTGTTTTTGCGCAAAAAGTATTCTCGTCGCTTGATAAACTTAAGATTGAGCCACTGTAGTCACTTGGACTATTTTAACGATGTCTTTAATAACTTTTCGAGGCCTGCAAGTTCAATCCCTGAAGAAGCCTATGGACTAGTGTGGAGGAGTGATCCAGCTCTCAGATTTCATCAAAAATATCTTAATTCGTGTTCCGAAGATGAGAGAAGGTCTTACGGGGTTGGAACAACATGAGGGCGAGTAAATACTGACAGAATTTTCATTTTTGGGTGAACTAACCCTTTAAAGAGGACCTATTATGCTATTTGTTTTTTGGCTCTACTAGAATAGGTTTTCATGCTTGAATGTTCAAAAAACACATTATTTTCCTTATATCTGACATTATCGCAGCTCCTCTCTTCCCAGTCTGTCTGTAACGCTCTGTTTATTTCCTGTCTCTATGAAGCCCCTCCTTCTGAAAAGCACAATGTGCTCTGATTGGTCAGTTGGATCAGTGAGTTGTGATTGGTAAACCGCTTCGAGCGTGTTTGAGAAGTGTCACACCCTTATCATAACTGCAAGTTTTAACACACTACTAACTCAACTCAACCAGGCCATTGCTTATGCTGTGGGCGGGAATGATTTAAATGAGGAATATTGTGACGTGTCTGGAAGAAAACTCAAGACTACAATGGAGGCGTTTCAGGAAGTTCAGAAACAGTGACTCTGATATAGAGAATAACTCCCGCTGGAGGGACTTTGTGCTTTGTAACTTTGCAGAGCTTTTTCATGTCCAAGCAGGAACATTTCACACTTAAGAAAGATGAAAGTGTAAAAAAGCATAATAGGTCCTCTTTAACTAAATAAATGCAAAGCCTGTAGAGTTGATCTAATATCTAATGTGGTTTTGCAGGCTCATAAAGTATAGTTCACCCAAAATGAAAATTGTCATAATTTATACTTAGGCTTTTCATTAAAATGCACAAGATGTTTTGCAGAGAGTTCACAAGTTAGCATTTCAAACGTATTCCTCTGCCTAGTAGTAGCATTAAAGACTTTCTCTCAACCCTACAAATATTCTACAAGTCTTTTCCTATCTGATGTTTGCAGGTTTTAATGCTCACGCTGCAGAACGATCCTCCAACCCTGGAGACTGGGGTTGAGGACAAAGAGATGCTTAAGAAGTATGGGAAATCTTTTCGAAAACTTATATCCTTGTGCCTTCAGAAGGACCCTGCAAAGAGGTAATTGGAATCCGCCAATTCATCATTATTTGTTCTCACAAATGAGTAAATCTGTGTCCAGAAATCATAACGAATGCGGAAGGTTCTCTGTGGATGACCAGAAGTTTCAACAAAGCCCTTTAATACTCAAGGCAAACATATTGATTTGAATTGTGCTGTGTACATTATTGAATAGAAGTTCTCTCTAAAGATAAATTGCAGTCAATAAAAGAAATTCCACACAGACAAAGTAGGTCTGATCACGCTCAAATAGATACGGATACGCTAATGTGATCTCGAGAACATAAATTGCTGCTGGTCTGTTCACTGTCTAGATCAGCGGTCTCATCTGGTCAATATATTGGACATTGGGTTATAGGGCTGTAGTGGTGGGTGATAATAATTTTATAACATGATATTCATTCCATTACACATACACACACTTACATTGTATGTATATACACATACATGCACGTTAAATATAATATCAATAATATCACATAATGTAACACTTGAGTGTTTACTTACTTGATTATTTAAATGTGACTGGAAGTCTTAATCTCTGACAATATCCCAAAATTGGGCCTTAGGAAAAGTGAAAATGTCACCAGGTCAAATAAAAATCTAATTGGCAAAAAAATTCTTATTGTTGAGTCCTGAAATATGGACCTGTCTGAAAATGTCAGCATGAACTGCTTTAACTCGGCTCTTCTCATCTCCACAGGCCCACTGCAGCCGAGCTTTTGAAATGTAAATTTTTCCAAAAGGCTAAGGTACGGCAGTATACTCTCTCCATACTTCAAATGCTTTAACCAGTGCTTCACAGCGGTCTGTTACTGATATATGTTCTGTGTTTCCCCCCTCCTGCCTCTGTGTTGTAGAATCGAGAGTACTTGAATGAAAAGCTGCTTACTAAAGGACCAAATATAAGCCAAAGAGCCAAAAAGGTAACGCAGTCTCATTCATTCCCACGCATTTGAGTGCGTTTCCCCCACAGGCCAGATGGGTCTCTCTTCTCTCATGTTTAGCAGAGTGCTTTCTGTATTGATTAAACAGTGTGGCTGCTTTTGATTGAGGGATCGGAAACGTAATGTTTCTCACTGCAGGACGTCTGCCCTCAACACTCACTCGTCCACTCAGATACCAGATGCACTTTAACCTATTAGCCAGTTCATGCATGGACTCTATCGTGACCTCTTTCCCTGAGCGGTAGCGGTTTACTCTCTGCTAGATGATGTGTTCTGTCTGTCTGTCTGTCTGTCTGTCTGTCTGTCTGTCTGTCTGTCTGTCTCTCTATCTATCTATCTATCTATCTATCTATCTATCTATCTATCTATCTATCTATCTATCTATCTATCTATCTATCTATCTATCTATCTATCTATCTATCTATCTATCTATCTATCTATCTATCTATCTATCTATCTTTCTGGCTATCTGTCTGTCTGTCTGTCTGTCTGTCTGTCTGTCTGTCTGTCTGTCTGTCTGTCTGTCTGTCTGTCTGTCTGTCTGTCTGTCTGTCTGTCTGTCTGTCTGTCTGTCTGTCTGTCTGTCTGTCTGTCTGTCTGTCTGTCTGTCTGTCTGTCTGTCTGTCTGTCTGTCTGTCTGTCTGTCTGTCTATCTATCTATCTATCTATCTATCTATCTATCTATCTATCTATCTATCTATCTATCTATCTATCTATCTATCTATCTATCTATCTATCTATCTATCTATCTATCTATCTATCTATCTATCTATCTATCTATCTATCATCTTTATCGCTCTGTCTGTCTGTCTGTCTATCGTTTGCTTTTTTGTTCTGTCTATCACTCATTCCATCTGTCTGTCTATTGTTTATTCTTTCGTTCATTCCATCTATTGTTTAATATCTGTCTATCTCTGTTTCATTCTTTTTATCGTTTGATCTAACTTTAATATCTTTCATTCTATCATTTTATCATTAAATCTATCTAGTCTTTGCTTATCATTATTTTTTGGTATTATTTTATTTTGATAACAGATTAAAGCTGCCGTACGGAGTTTTGAGAAAACGTTGACTTAGCCTGAAAATTTGAACAAGCACAACTTACAGCTCGTCCTCCACAGCGGAGCCTGTCGTGAACGCGCAGGCTAGTAAACAGGGCCACCGATGACGGCGGATAAAAAGTTATATGGCACATTCACTAATAGGGACTAAACGTCAATAATATGCTTTACATTGACTATGGCCTGCCCATACTTTGACTACAAACTTGGTCCTCAAATCATTATGTATTTTGCCATACATGTACCTTTATAACATTGCACTCTTTCTATAAGTTATAAATAGCTAGTAAGATAACGTTAATATAACGGTAACTAACGTTACAGTATGTAAGTAATTATTCTAGCGATATATAATGCTAGATAAGGTGTGCTAGTCCATTATTTCAGCAACATGACAAGCCAGTGAATTAGCAGGTTTCAATTGTTGCTTAGCAGAGTGTGTGACATTTTATCTACATGTTATGCGGCTAGAGTTTTGACACCGAATCAATGGGCTTTGTGTAATTCTTTCTTTTTCGCTTGTTTATCGTCATCGGTCTTTTTCCTTTTACCTCTTTGTTTTATGAGCAGGTGTCACTGGAGAATTGGCAGTTTAGGTTGTTTCTCCGTCATAAGCACAGCTGCAGCACGCCGGCAATCTTGAGTTTGAACGACGGCTCTGCTGTGCAAGAGAGGGGTGTGATCAGCGCGGACACGGGCGTGATTGACACTGCTAAGACAGTCCTCCTGGCTCTGATTGGTTGTTTCTGACCGGGAGCGTGTATTTCTTGCAAATGGCAATAGGACCACTGGGGGGAGCCAGAGGAGCTTGATTTTTACACAGATTATCTGTCTCATATTCTACTGTCAGGACATAATGACAGTTTTAACAAATATGTAAAAAATATTTTTTACAAAAGCTACCTACAGCAGCTTTAATCTAACGATTATTAGAACGATTAATCGACGATTATTTCACTGATTAATCAGTAGGCTTTGGTTGATTATATGCATATGACAGCATTTTTTTTTTTTTTTTTTTTGTAGTTATGTTAAACTTTCCCACACTCTACTAGTTTGACTTCGTTTACATTCCGAGGCACTATGTCTTCTTCTGTTGGATTTGGATTGCATCCATGAGTGTTGCATTACAGTATTGCACCACAGCTCCCCACTGGTCGAACCACGTTATTGCAGACCCATATGAGATCAAAAGACTAATAGCTGTGTTTGAAATCTCTCCCATTCACTTTTCCATACATGACTCCACTAATATAGTCCACTTAAAGTCATTTGGCATGACCCTCACAGTGCATTATGGGTTTTCTCTAGCCGTTGAGTGTACATCTGTTGTACACTCGTTATTGTGGTGTATTATGGGATGAGTGCACTCGATAACGTCCACTATGGTTTCAGACACCACTACAAATGGCTGTCCCCTCAAATATTGCCATATTTAATGGTATAGGGGGTGATTTCGGACACAGCCCGTTTGTCGTCAATTTTTTACTGTCGACGTTGTCGATAATTTTGACTAATCATTTCAGCCCTATTATATGGATTCCTGTGAATTTCAATTTATTTTATTCTACTTTTTTTACATTCAAAGTTGCCTTGCAGTTCTGCATAATGTTTGTTACCCCAATTAAAATAAAATAAAAAATCAGGAATTCATTTGGAATTTAAAAAAACCCTTAAACTAAACTTAAATAACAATGAGAATTAACACGCAATGTTTGTGGTAAGATAATCATTTGGATGCATGTTTGGAAGCAGTTTTTTTTATGTTGACATTTTTTAAACATGTTTACGCTTAATAACATGCAATAATAGACCCTCCCCTCAAAATCTGAATGCGTGTGTGGAGTGTTTCTTTACTAAGCATGTGGTGTAAAACTCACTCGCGCTCAATGAAAGCGTTGTTCCAGTTCATGCTTTTAGCAGACACCTAGGGCCAGGTTTACTAAACAGGGCAAATTAACAAGCTCAGTTAGCATCGGGTTTAAGACATGCTTTTTTTTGTGTGGTAAATAATGGCGCAAACACCAGTAAATTGAAGAGTGCAACACTTAATAAATCACCTTGCATAATTCATTTAAATAATCTCCTTTCATAAATGTGGTGTCTGAAAGGGAAACTCCTACAGTACATATGCAATAAGGTCAGCCGCAAAAATAACCCTGTCCACGCCTTTTAACGCTAACTTCTCACTGTGTGTCTTTAGTAAATCCTGTAGTTTTTTAATGCCAAAAGAGGGTTTAGTAAGCTGTTAGTAAATCTGGCCCCTAATGTCTCTGAGCTCTGATGAGCTATGAAGAAAAATGAGCTTTAATGCAGGCAGCAGGGTGTTGTGTTAAATCGTTTGCATGCCAGACCGTCTGTCTGTCGGGACAGAGAGGGCCGGCTATCAGCACCTCACACCTCTAGCCCACTAAATGAATGAGAGAAATGGCGGGTAAAGAGCTCTACTCATCCTTCCATTTAGGAGGATGTACAGAATCTCCCGGTGGAGATGGAAGTGGAGGCTGTGACACTGATGGGCTGAAATGATGGAGGGATGTGGGTGTTTTCAAATGTGGGCTGCTGATGTTGTATCGAGGTACAGCTGACAACAGACAGAATGAGAGAAATACGCTGGGCATGTATAGAACATTCACAGTGATTTTGCTGGCGATATAAACATTGGGAATATTGATGTGCTTTTTTCAGTCTGCAGTCCTTCCTCATCTTGCAAGTTTTAATAGCATTTCCGATTTAAACGTATTAGTTTATAATGAAATAATTGGACTTAAACTTTTTCAATGAATCGATTCGAAACTCAACGATTCAATGATTTGTTTGAGTAACTAATTACTCTAAATTGTTCATGGAAGTTTCTTTCAAATGTTTTTGTAAAAATATATGCACTTTTTAACATTGGTGCCTTTAAATGATAAATGAAAATCATTAAATAGGGTTATTTTTTATTGTATTTTAATCTAGAATCGATTTGGTTACAATGACTGTTTGGTTAAAATGATTGTTCTTTTGATTAAAAATACTCCTTTTTATGCCAATACATAGCAAATGCATAAATATGGAGATATATGTATACAGTATATGACTGAAAAATACTATATGTATATTAAATATATAATATTTTAGACATATCGTCCTGAGAGAAACTCTTAAATCCATGCAAACTGCCTTGTTGTATATTTGTAATGGTGTTTTTTAGGTTGAATGACTTGCGTGCATCAAAAAAGGTGTTTTGCACTGATAAAGGGATTTATTCCAGTAGATGACCGAATGAGTGCACTTAAAAGCTACTCGGCAGATTACTGTGCAGCCACACAGACATATTTAGTCTGACTTGTAAAAGAATAATCACTACAGCAGATCCATTTAGAATTGATTTTGTTGATGTGTGATGGTGTTTTAGTTGTCTGAAGTGCTCTGGGAAAACTAGTCGTGCTTTCAGTAATAGACTCTTCTCAATGAATTACAGTATTAATGGGTGGGAGGGTGAAACCGACGTACGGCCTGTTGTCTGGGTGGAACGGAGCCCATGCATACTTGTTAGATTTGACAAGAGTTGCAGTCAACCGAGCCGTCGTATTCAGGAAAGGGAACCTCTGGGAAATGGAGGTTTAATTGGAGATCTGAAACATTATTTGTAGTGCCTGAATTGTGTAATTGGAGTTGTTAGTGGGTTGGTACAGTAGTGAAGCTCATCAACTGAAACTGTGTCAACAATAGCTTTAAGGGACATTCACAGACACACACACACACACACTAACAGTGATTAAATCGCTGGAGGTCAGTGGGTCTCTATGCTGTTGGGTTCTGCTAGTCGATGGCAGTCGATGTCCAACTTTATCAGGTGATGGTTCACTGTCTGTCCTCCCATCAGTAGTCCATCTCAGATGCCGCTCTCTGCCACTGCACTGCAAAATAACCATGTTTTAATCAGTGTGTTTTGTCTTCCTAAACATCCTTTAAACACAATACGTTTTCTGGAGAAGCAAAGATGTTAAGACATTTTTACAGAGAATATATCATCACTGAAAGGCATAAATCTCCATATTTGCAATGCAAGGGTAAATAAAGAACTGTTTGTTTGAATAAGTAGAGTATTTTCTTTACTCAACAAACACTATATATACACTCACCTAAAGGATTATTAGGAACACCATACTAATACTGTGTTTGACCCCCTTTCGCCTTCAGAACTGCCTTAATTCTACGTGGCATTGATTCAACAAGGTGCTGAAAGCATTCTTTAGAAATGTTGGCCCATATTGATAGGATAGCATCTTGCAGTTGATGGAGATTTGTGGGATGCACATCCAGGGCACGAAGCTCCCGTTCCACCACATCCCAAAGATGCTCTATTGGGTTGAGATCTGGTGACTGTGGGGGCCATTTTAGTACAGTGAACTCATTGTCATGTTCAAGAAACCAATTTGAAATGATTAGAGCTTTGTGACATGGTGGAAGTAGCCATCAGAGGATGGGTACATGGTGGCCATAAAGGGATGGACATGGTCAGAAACCATGCTCAGATAGGCCGTGCCATTTAAACGATGCCCAATTGGCACTAAGGGGCCTAAAGTGTGCCAAGAAAACATCCCCCACACCATTACACCACCACCACCAGCCTGCACAGTGGTAACAAGGCATGATGGATCCATGTTCTCATTCTGTTTACGCCAAATTCTGACTCTACCATCTGAATGTCTCAACAGAAATCGAGACTCATCAGACCAGGCAACATTTTTCCAGTCTTCAACTGTCCAATTTTGGTGAGCTCTTGCAAATTGTAGCCTCTTTTTCCTATTTGTAGTGGAGATGAGTGGTACCCGGTGGGGTCTTCTGCTGTTGTAGCCCATCCGCCTCAAGGTTGTGCGTGTTGTGGCTTCACAAATGCTTTGCTGCATACCTCGGTTGTAACGAGTGGTTATTTCAGTCAAAGTTGCTCTTCTATCAGCTTGAATCAGTCGGCCCATTCTCCTCTGACCTCTAGCATCAACAAAGCATTTTCGCCCACAGGACTGCCGCATACTGGATGCTTTTCACACCATTCTTTGTAAACCCTAGAAATGGTTGTGCGTGAAAATCCCAGTAACTGAGCAGATTGTGAAATACTGGCCCGTCTGGCACCAACAACCATGCCATGCTCAAAATTGCTTAAATCACCTTTCTTTCCCATTCTGACATTCAGTTTGGAGTTCAGGAGATTGTCTTGACCAGGACCACACCCTTAAATGCATTGAAGCAACTGCCATGTGATTGGTTGATTAGATAATTGTATTAATGAGAAATTGAACAGGTGTTCCTAATAATCCTTTAGGTGAGTGTATTTAGGCCAGTGTTTTATGTATTTGAGAAGCGGAGAAGAGTGTTTTAGTCTAGCATTTGTCGTTGAGTCACAGACAATACTGTCTTGAATAGCCTGTGAGTAGCACTCCGCCTTTAATAACATGAGATTTTGGCTCACATAGCTTCAGTAAACTTTTTAACCTGTAAGCTGATGAAAACCTAATGCGACGCACTTAGTGCACTTCGTATTTCTTGTATGAAATTTACTGGTCAAAAACCTTGTAACTCCATTTTAACTTGATTTTGGTAAAATGTTTATAATATAAGACACATGCAAGTGTCTGACCATATTTAAAGCCACAATTTCAACTTTGACAACACACACAATGTTTAAAAATAGTGTTTTTTCCATTTCCTGAAAAGTAGCAGTTTTGGACATTTAAGGTTTCCACCCGACAGTGATGATTTCTTAAATTAAGTTTTCTTTTTTTTTTTTTAAGTTGGCATGACTTCCCTATTGTGATGTATATCTGAGTGAAGCGGCTTCTTGAACAAGAAAAAATGTAGGACGGTACTTGATTTTGTCCATGGGGAATTGATTGGATGGTCGTGGCTTGCTATTGGTGGATCTCATGTGATTGACAGGTTGGTTGTCCCGCCCTCACACCAGTAAACACGTCATCAGAGAAGAGAAGAGATGTCGCTTTAAGATTATACGAGGACACATGAATTAAAAAAAAAATTATGAAGTGCACGAATAAATCATTTATAATAAATACTGCAGTGTTCCATAAATTAAGAATGGTCAATTTTGATTTTATGGTGACTTTAAGTATAACTGTACAACAAAATGGAGTGAGTTTATGCTTTAAAAACAAAACAAAAAAACATATTCTTTGAAAACTAGTTTTAGATCATTTTTCCACAAATTAAAATATAATAACCGGTTCATTTACTCAAAAGTTTGAGATCAGTAAGATTTTTTTAAGTACCGGTATTTGAAAGAAATACATGCTCACTAAGGCTGCATTTACTGGATTGAAAAATACAATAAAAACAGCAATATTGTGAATTATTATTATTATTATTATTATTTCTATTATTATTATTATTTAAAATAACTGATTTCTATTTGAATATATTTTGAAATGTAATTAATTCCTGTGATCAAAGCTGAATTTTCATCATAATTACTCCAGTCTTTAGTATCACATGATCCTTCAGAAATCATTCTAATATGATGATTTGCTGCTCAAGAAACATTATTATCAATGTGGAAAACAGTTGTGCTGCTTAATCAATTTGTGGAAACCATTTTTTTTTCATGAACAGAAAGTTTGTGTACTGCCGGCAGAGGCAGTGTTTTCCAGGTTTTGGACACGTTGTGAAACCAGAGTATAGCGTACTAAACATGTGAATTATGAAATTGAATCCCGGTCCTCATGAATATTCTGATGAAGGATGTGTCAGTGTCAGCAGTGTGTGCGTGTCCGTTCTGTCACCTGGTGTCTGATGTGTGTGTGTGTGCTATTGCGACCCTGCATCACTCCCACATTATGTATCCAGTCAGCATAGCCGGAGCCCGCGGAGAAAGATGCTGTCATGTAAGGACTCTCTGACCTGAACAACTCCTGACAAACACCATTTCTCTTCCTTACCTCACTGTCTGTATTCCTTTATCTCTCTCTCTCACCCTCTCTCTCTCTACATGGCTGTCTGTCTTTGTCATTCTCTTTCTTTCTCCTCACCGTGAGGACTTGAATATTAGCAGCTGCGCTTCTGTTCAGGACACTGTGGAGACTGAGAATCAGTATTTGACCTTGGAATTTCAAAGCGCTCAATGACATCCACTCGAGCGATACAGATTTGAGCAGCGTTGCGAAAATCACAATGATTTATGAGTTTTCTAAAGACCGTGTCATTAGAAAAATTAACCATACAACTAATCATTTTCAAAAATAAATTCAAACTTGAGGTCAAATATTTTTTGACAAACAATCTTTTTTTTAAACACAAATATTTTACTCTATTTGACCTGAAAAAAACGATGACCTTGGTAGGTCATGTGATAAGGGCAACAAGCCGAATGTAGTACATCCAGATTACATTCATACGTCACACTTTTTTTTTAGCTTATTCAAACTTATTCAAATTAACTTATTCAAAATAAGTACCTACTCAAGAGAGTGTGCAATTTTGGAGGTAGCCCGTGATATTTCCTGTTTCACATGACAACAAAATTAGTGTTTTTTTTCAATACGCTTTGACTGATTTGACAGCCAAATGTTTTTTTTTCCAAGTATTAATAATATTTTAAAACGTATAATAATAATAAAAAAGACACATAGTAAAATATTTTTTTTTTCATTTGCTTGTAAATAACTTGTAAATAGTTAAAATGATGCTTTTAATTTTTCAACGTTTTATTGTATTTTTCCTACAATTTCAGCATTTGAATCTTTTTCTTCTCATTTGAGTCTTTTTCTTCATGTTGTAAACATCAAAGAAGAGATTTCAATTCATTTTCTTTATGGATTTTTTATTTTACTTCACCAATGATAAAAAAAAGGGAAAACATATCTATTTTTCTCTCTTACATCTCATCTTTCATGTTTGCAACTTAAAGAAAAAAGACTCATTGAAATGGTGTATATGCTTTATAAATGGTGTATATATATATGTGTGTGTGAGTGTAGATATATACAGTGTATATATATATATTTTATCCTGTCATTTATCCTATTTAATTATCCTTGAATCTGCCGCCTCATAAAATTTGATTTTCCTGAAGCAAATCTGTCATTGAAGAAAGTCAAGATCATGTTATTGTGACCAGGATTAAGGTCTTATCTTCTGTCTTCACTTACACCTGTAATAAGATTACATATGAAATCTGCATAATTCTTCTGTCTAGCAAGTGCAGTTGAGTGGTTGTAGTGTAGTGTGTGTCCAGTAGGGGGCGCAACAGCTCGCTGGTCTGACTCGCAGCATCTCTGCAGTGGACGCATGTGTTGACTCGTGGTGGAGGACATTATTTTCAGAGTTATTTTCAGCTGAAATTTTTATAATCTCTTGTCATTGATTGCTGAGTTATGCCTTGTGCTGAATTACAGATGTAAATCAAAATATATTGCTATAAATCAATCTTTATTTCTTCAATCAAAATAAGCAAAGCTTTAGTGGCTCGGCTGACATTTACTGTATTGCCAAAGCATAAAGTAAGTATACAGTAGTGCAGAAAACAAGGTGAAGTAAATCGAGATTGTACAGTGTGGATGAATTTAGATGCTCAAATGACATACTTTGGTTTTGTTTCTCTCTTGCAGCATTATAATGATTTGTTTTGTGTAATTGAATGTCTGCATCGCAACACTCGATTGCACATTGCATTTTCTAAGAGAGCAATTTACCAGTGGGTATTTGAGCTTACATAATGTCTGTAAATGACAGCGAGTGTGTGTTGAAGAGCTCTGTGCCGCTGACCCACTCGTGTTGTTCATAAACACACAGCCCGCAGGTGTAGTTTGTCATCATCATGCGCTCATGTTTATTTGTTGCTTTGTTTATCTGTGTGTTATTTTGAAGGATCCAGAGCCGAGGAAGCAGAACACAGAGCAGGATTCTGGGAGACGGGTACATGTTATCTCACTCGCTGAACGCTTACTTACTGCTTCTCGCTTCTAGATGTACTTGTGTGTGTGTGTGTGTGTGCCGTTTTTCACCTCTTGTCTCGAAGTGGAAGCTGAGTAAATCTCCTGGAAGACAATGCGTCTTTGTGTCAGGACAGGGCGGTCAATGTATATGTATTGGGTTAAGGCCGTGTCGACCGGATTGCTCCAGTCCAATATGATTTTGTCAATAACTTCAGAAAGCGCATTGATTGCATGTTGCCTGATATCCACAGTCTAGTAGTGCATCATATTTCACACACGTCCAGAGGATTTAAGGTCTTCTGTGCCTTTTTGATAGAGTTATCGCTGGTTCTGGGGTTAAAGGGATGGAACTCGCTATAACTCTTCTAGTCTCGTGTGGTTCCAGACGTTGGTCCTCACACTTAGACCAGAAGAGACCGTCTGACAGATATGAAAAGTGTTCAGGTACAGTTTGTTTGATTTGATGTGCTATTTAGGGGAAGGTAGAAACGATAATAGGTGTGAGTGATATACAGGTTAAAACAATACTTGTAAGAATTCGCCAACTGGTTTACTTTTTTGAGTATTTTTTGATATGCCAGTGTTTTCTGCAAAAAAACAAAACAAAAAAAAACAAGCATTATTATCCTTCCATTAAAAAGGGTATATTGTGAATATAAATAATACTTAATAATTCATATATATCTTATATATTTGTAAAAATATATTAGTGCTGTAACATCGATTAATCGCATCTAACATAAAGTTTTTATAATATATACAGTATATATATATATATATATATATATATATATATATATATATATAAATATTTATATATGAAATGTGTGTACTTATCTGTAATTATTTATATGTATATATATATATATATATATATATATATATATATACATACACTGCCAAAAAAAGTAATAATTTTGTTTCTAGCATGTTTACAGAGTACAACGTTCCGGCCAGTGTGTATATAAATATATATGACATACAATTTGACAGCAGAAATATATATATATATATATATATATATATATATATATATATATATATATATATATATATATATTTAAAAAATATACAAGAATGTACAGTACATATATTAATTATTAAGTAGTATTTATATTCACAATGTACCCTTTCTGCTGTCAAATCGATTAATCGCGCTAATAATCTAGTAAAAGTCTGTGTTTATATAATGTGTGTGTATATATATATATACACTCACCTAAAGGATTATTAGGAACACCATACTAATACTGTGTTTGACCCCCTTTCGCCTTCAGAACTGCCTTAATTCTACGGGGCATTGATTCAACAAGGTGCTGAAAGCATTCTTTAGAAATGTTGGCCCATATTGATAGGATAGCATCTTGCAGTTGATGGAGATTTGTGGGATGCACATCCAGGGCACGAAGCTCCCGTTCCACCACATCCCAAAGATGCTCTATTGGGTTGAGATCTGGTGACTGTGGGGGCCATTTTAGTACAGTGAACTCATTGTCATGTTCAAGAAACCAATTTGAAATGATTCGAGCTTTGTGACATGGTGCATTATCCTGCTGGAAGTAGCCATCAGAGGATGGGTACATGGTGGCCATAAAGGGATGGACATGGTCAGAAACAATGCTTAGGTAGGCCGTGGCATTTAAACGATGTCCAATTGGCACTAAGGGGCCTAAAGTGTGCCAAGAAAACATCCCCCACACCATTACACCACCACCACCAGCCTGCACAGTGGTAACAAGGCATGATGGATCCATGTTCTCATTCTGTTTACGCCAAATTCTGACTCTACCATCTGAATGTCTCAACAGAAATCGAGACTCATCAGACCAGGCAACATTTTTCCAGTCTTCAACTTTCCAATTTTGGTGAGCTCTTGCAAATTGTAGCCTCTTTTTCCTATTTGTAGTGGAGATGGGTGGTACCCGGTGGGGTTTTCTGCTGTTGTAGAAAATGCTTTGCTGCATACCTCGGTTGTAACGAGTGGTTATTTCAGTCAAAGTTACTCTTCTATCAGCTTGAATCAGTCGGCCCATTCTCCTCTGACCTCTAGCATCAACAAGGCATTTTCGCCCACAGGACTGCCGCATACTGGATGTTTTTCCCTTTTCGCACCATTCTTTGTAAACCCTAGAAATGGTTGTGCGTGAAAATCCCAGTAACTGAGCAGATTGTGAAATACTCAGACCGGCCCGTCTGGCACCAACAACCATGCCATGCTCAAAATTGCTTAAATCACCTTTCTTTCCCATTCTGACATTCAGTTTGGAGTTCAGGAGATTGTCTTGACCAGGACCACACCCCTAAATGCATTGAAGCAACTGCCATGTGATTGGTTGATTAGATAATTGCATTAATGAGAAATTGAACAGGTGTTCCTAATAATCCTTTGGTGAGTGTATATATATATAATATATACATATATATATATATATATTAGGGCTGTCAGTTAAACGCGTTATTAACGGCGTTAACGCAAAACAATTTTAACGGCGTTAATTTTTTTATCGCGCGATTAACGGTCTTTATGGCCTAGCAAACTTTGTCGTTTTTTTTTTTCACATGCTTTTGCAACAGGACAGCATGCACGGCGCTGCGCTATGATGAAACCCATTCATTTCAATGGCTTGCGCCGCGCGAGGACGTTTTGAAAGCGCAAGCGGATCTAGCTAGATCGGAAACAAAACAACAGGCACGCCGCACACACTTGTTTGGGCTTGCGAGCCGGATGCGCGAGCGCGAATCTCTCTGCTCGCGCGCGGAATATAATGTGCCGAGCACGAATCTCTCTGCTCGAGTCGCGCGCTCTCAGAGACACGCTGCTCTTGTAAGAATTTTCTCTGGGCTCGCTCAGAGAATATGCCTGCACTTAAAAACGTGTTCAGTGCAATCGCGAATCTCTCCTCTTCCCCAGCTAACAATTTTAGGTTATAAGAACGTTTTCATAACGTTCCCATTAAGTTATAAAAACGTTATTTCTGAATGTTATAGGAACGTTCAAAACGTCCAGTTTTGAGTGGATGACGAGCGCGAGACGCCGAAATGGATGCCAATAAGATTCTGAATGGAAAGTTTACTTTTAAAAAGTTGCCAAATGGTTCCATTGACAAGACCAAAGTGATCTGTGTGTTTTGTCGTTGTGAACTGATCATCATCGCAGCACGTCCAGTCTGAAACACCACTTGATGATGGCCAGCACACACACACACACACAGCTGATGCGAATTCTCCGCCCCCTCGTCAATATCAGGACCTCGTCAGTATTTCTTTCACCCTTTTATTGATGGACAGTGTTACATTGTGTGAGAGATTATTTGCTCCAAGTGAGAATGTTTTAGTGTGAAATTGAACAGTATATGCCAATGTTGTTTTCAATAAAAAAACATTTGCACAAAGCAAGCCGATCCACTTTTCCATGTTGATAAGAGCATTAAAATGAGAAAAAATAATGGGACAAAAAGAAATCAAGAGACATTTAGAATAGATAAAAATGTGTGATTAAATGCGATTAATCGCGAGTTAACTATGACATTAATGCGATTAATCGCGATTAAATATTTTAATCGTTTGACAGCACTAATATATATATATATATATATATATATACACACACAATACATGTCTATATTCTGTTATATGTACTTTATATTCATACAAGTATAATATTTTTAAGTATATATTTAATCATTCATTAAGCATAAAAAAAAAAAAAAATCAAATTTGCTATTACTTTGAAAATTGTCAGAGGAACCATTGTTATTTTCAATGTACATTTTTAAGAATTTATTTTAGAATATATATATATATATATATATATATATATATATATATATATATATATATATATATATATATATATATATATATATATATATATATATATATATATATATATATATATATATATATATATCCCATCCCTACACAATAACAGAAAACAGAAGAAATAAGCAAAAAATTGGTTTGGATATCTAATTCATTTGGCAAACTTCAGCAAGTGACTAGTTCTTCCTCAAAAGTGTTTATTTGATCAGCCTGGTACCTTGTAAATATGACTTGGTTTCCTGGTGGATGATAGTAAAACCTGTGTGCACTTATCCTCAGAAATTGTGTAAAGCCAGCCGATCAGATTAGGGCTTGCCAGACCGAGAAAGGCTTGTGTAAATGACAGGAATTTAGGGATCTTGTTGAGCGAAATTTCTATCTTTTCAGGAGCTGAGCTGATCGCCTGGTTTGCCATACATCGATGAATGTTGAGATCTTGTAGGCCAGATTAAACCGTTAGCATGTTTTGAAGGATGCATGTCTTGCATAAGAGAACAGACAGTGGGATATTTCAGCGCTGGTTACAGTCACTGAGCAGGCCTCAAACAATCTTCCCTTTTTGTTGAAGTTAGGGCCTGGAGATGAATTAAAGCTCACTTCACTGACCCAGAGAAATAAGCCCTGTAAGTTCAGCACAGACTGTATCTGCCCTGCTGAGATCGACGCGTGACGCTGTAGAGCACAACCGTAGGGTTCTGAAAGTACAAATGCCATTCATTTACTCCATAGAAAAATAGATTTTTAACAATCATTTGTAAACATACCAAGTTGGACCTACAGCTCTGAAATTCTTAAATATTGTTATGCTTCTGTAGGAACAAGTCAGTGTGATTTTAGCTAAATATAATATTATTGTTTAAAAAGTGTAGTTTGAATTATAAAATAGTGTAGAAAGTGGGGATTAAATTAATAGTTCATTCCTTTATTAAAGGTGTATATGTGTCTGTATTTATATATGCACACACAGAGATGGATAGATAGATGATTTCTCATGATTTATGATTACCATTTATAAATGTATATGTATGCTGTATATACAGACAGATAAATAGATTATTTCTCATGATTTATGATTATGATTTATAAAATTGTATGTATACAGATAGATAGATAGATAGATAGATAGATAGATAGATAGATAGATAGATAGATAGATAGATAGATAGATAGATAGATAGATAGATAGACAGACAGACAGACAGACAGATAGATAGGTGGATAAATGGATGGATGGATGGATTAGATAGATAGATAGATAGATAGATAGATAGATAGATAGATAGATCTATCTAGATAGATATATAGATATGTTTAATAATTCAAGTTAATTTCTGATTTTCATGTTTTGCTTCAAATTAAAGGTTGTAATGTGCTTCATCTCAGAGCTGGGTGGTTTGTTTCAAGATCTATTTATTCATATTTTGCTTATGGAGAAAACGAATGAGATAAATACTTTCAGCACCTCATCTGCTGGTAAAGTGTGGGGTAACTGCTGCGCACTAGTGTGAGTTTGACGGCGTGTCCCGTTCACACCCGCAGGTCAGAAGGGTCCCGGGGTCGAGCGGTCACCTGCACAAGACCGAGGATGGAGACTGGGAATGGAGTGATGATGAAATGGACGAGAGAAGTGAAGAGGGGAAGGCTGCCGTCAATCATGGAAGGGTGAGTGTGGCCTAGTAGCATGCCAAATGATCTTTCTTAAAATTAACATATATATATATATATATATATATATATATATATATATATATATATATATATATATATATATATATATATATATATATATATATATATGTAAGGGTACATATAAATCACAGTTCGGTACGCACCTCGGTTCTGGGGTCACTGTTCGATACGAGTTTGGTACATTTACATGTCCGCCATGTCCACCAATATATGTACTGTTACACCATATATATATATATTTCATTGAATACGTTTATCTGAAAAATTCAGATTGTTTGAAAAAGTCAGGCAAAAATTGTCAAATTTACTGAATAATCCAAAGCAGCAGTTATCAAGATTATGAATAAGGCTTAAATTAAGTGTGTTTCTCAAGCAAATCTATTATCTGTCTTCAGAAGATGTTGTAGTAAGTTAAAAAAAATCAAAATAGAACCATTTTCATGAGTGGTCTTAGACGTTTGGACCTCACTGTATTTAAATAAAGCCTCTAGTATGTATTTGTTATTAACCCACATATGAGATTTGATACGAATGCACTTCCTCTGATGTAGAGCCAAGCGTTTCACCTCAAGCTCCCTTAATATTTGATCATAAACGCCCTTGCCTGTACCATACGGGTGACGCACACCATTTGATCAAAGCCCAAGGCCTTTTTCACTCATAAATGTGGAATATATAATGCTAACATGTCTTCGGCAGGAAGGAACAATCAGAGCCCCCGAAGCGAAGCGTCCGCAAATCAGCGGCTGCTAATGAAGCTGGAGACGTTGTTCTTGTGTTTATTGTTTATTATGGAATGCAAATGAGCAAGTGCTGATTGCACTCCCACACAAATAGCTACATCTGTCTGTCGTACTTTGTGCGAGAGCGAGAACCTAATTGAATCCTGTCTCGTTATTGCTTTTGCAGTCACGCAGGGTCAAAGAGGAAAACCAGCATGTAAGTTACAGTTATTCTTTCTTTACCTTTTGAAATGGCTGTTTTTTTAATTAGTTGTGTGGGGTAATGCATCAGGACAGTGTGAAATCAGAACTGACCCTGTTTACATGTGTAATGCAGTTTACTAGCTTTATTGTGAATGATTCATCAGCACAAGAAAAGAAATGTTTGTTTTTAAAATCTTTCATCAAAACTCACTCCGCCTCTGGAACGACTTTCTTTCTCGGTAGTGCAGGCTGTTTATGTAGACAAATAGGGGTTTAGTTGTTTGGGTTGTAATGTATTGCAGCCTTTCTAAAATCCTGCCAATACGCTATTATTTTTATAAGCACAATGAACCCGGCAGGGGAAAACGTACATGAAGGAGGGTCTTGGGTGATATTTATAGACCAGAATATCGTACGGAGTTTGGGAAGGGCTCTTAATTTGAGCTAGTAAGCAAACACCTAGTAACCACTCAGGGTTGCGTTACCCGAAAGCATTGCCAGCCAAATATGCTCGCAAATAGTCGTTATTAGCATTGTTCAATGAGTCTGTTTCCCGAAACCATAGTTCCAATGAACATTCACAAACAGCATCACAAAGTTTGACCTGTGGTTTGAAGCATAGTTTCTTGTTTGCATGACATGTGGACTTAAACGTACAGTACGTAATTTTTGGCCACCAGGGGTCGCTAATCTTTTACAATAACAAAGGCATATATAGATGACGCAAAGCATTAAGCGGAATTATGGATCTTGTCGTCAAGCTGATGGATCTTTTATGGATGAGTGAATACAGTGATGTTTTTAACATGACTGTGGTGTGAAGCAGGGCGCGATTGCTAATGAGAGACCGATATCAGCGCCACACGCGAGTCCCGCGGATATAAAGGAATACGGACATTTCATTCTACCGAACTACACGCAAGTGCTGAATTAATACTCACACAGGTCAGTTTATTAGACGAATTAAACTTGAGGTAACGCAGCGCTGCTTCACTTGCTCTAACAGTTACACTATCACACTAAACTGCACTTGAGTGTGTTGAATGTTATTCTATGTGTTTGTTTGTTGGCTGTATGAGACTAGCAGTAAGCTAGATCAACATTAGAATAACATACAGATCATATTCTAACATTTTATCATGTTGAACTAAATAACACTGATTAGTTTTATGTACATTTGCTAACCTGTCTAATAAAGAACATGGAACACTCGCGTCTCTGTCAAGTCGAAGTTACTCGGCATTTCGAAAGATGTTGATCTTCGTTCTAGTCCTCTTTTTGTCTTAAAGTCTGCTTGCCATGGTCCAAAATGTTTGAACAAAACAACAACAGCGTGAGCGTCCTGCTAGGCATAACCCAGTTGTCCACGTCTGTCGCCATGGTTACTATGGCAGTACGAGCGGAAACCGAGGGTAACGCGGATATGACGTCATTGACTGGCGGTTAAAATCGCAATTTTCTCACGATTTACAAATAGTTGGAAACATTGCGGTAATATTGTAAGTAATCAGCTAAACAAAATATATAACATTGGCCTAGTGGGTTTGGGATATTTTACTGCAAAAATCCTACATATTGTACCTTTAATAAATCCCTATCTTGAGCAAAATAAGCAAGCTGACATTCAGTGCAATCTATGGGCCAGCTTTGCTAACAGCTCGCGCCAGCATAAACCCTCTTTTGCTAAGGTCAGCACTCGTCAGTTTACTGGTGTTTGTGCCATTATTTAACGACAACGCTGTTTGCACTAAGTGAAAATAGCACATTTTCTTAGTGATATTTGCTATACACTAAGTAAAAATAGCAGTATTTTCTTTGCAATAAGTGTAAATAGTAGTTTGACTATTTGTAAATGCTTTTGTAAATTATTATATGAATTAAATAAATGCCGCCTTATTGGGACAATAAAGCCCTTCCTACACCCTCCCTAACCCTACCCGATAAACACTTTATTATTAGACAATTTAATTCCACTTATCACATATTTTCTTAATTTTTATTGAAAATAAATGCCTTTCCAATCTGATGGGCGGAGTTAGTGTAAATAGCCTCTGCCAACAAGGCGGGCTATATAGTGTTTTTGCACTTTATTTACCCCCCCCCCCCCCCCAAAAAAGCAAGTCTTAAACCAGACGCTAATTTTCCACAGCTCTAGTGTAGAGTGTGTTTGTCATTATGGAAAAAATGACCCTAAATCTTTTATTTCGAATATTTACAAATGTCATTTATGTCTTTTAGTTTGTCAAGAGATTTACAGCTCTGTTTTTAAAGAGTGCCGTAATGTCCGTAATTCAATCTCAAACCGATCCATTAAAAGAAGTTATTACTCGACCATCTGTGTGATGTCATTAATCAGGTTTGTGACGGTATGGTTTCTGGAAACAGTCGTGACTAGTTAGTTGATTTCTTCAGCGACGCATCGTACTGTGGTAGTGAAGCAGTGAGCTATGTGATTGTACGGGAAACACACCCCTGAACGGCCTCAAACATCATTGCGGCGAGTTTTGCATGGGAAAACACCACTTGTATTATCTTCAGAAAACATTCAAACGTATGTAAACATCCTATTATTTAACTCGGTCAGTAACAAGTCTTACTTTTATTCAGCAAGGACACATCAATTTGATCAAAGGTGACAGTAAAGACATTAATAATGTTACAAAAGATTTTTATTTCAAATAAATGCTGTTCTTAAAATCTAAAAGTAGTTTTAAATTGTAATTTATTTTTCACAATTTTACTGTATTTTGATCGAATAAAAGCAGCCTTGGTAAGCATAAGATACTAAAAATGAAACTCTCAATTTGCCCTACGGCTAAAATCCTAGAAAACTGTAAAGTCTGTAAATGTGAGCTCACAGAGACATCGGGCTTGACTGACTATGTTTGCCCGTGAATAGATTTAATTAACGACTAAAGTATCGTTTGATCATTTAATTAAGAGTATCGAGGGATTGCGCTATTTGCCTAATAAACTACATATTAAATAATTAACAAGCGTGGCCTATTGGACCGTATTGGACAAATAGCAATTAAGCAGCACAAACACAGAACTTATTTCCTAATGTCTGTGTGTGTGTGTAGCGATCTTCCACTCATATTTTCTCCCACTGGATCACCAAATGTCATGACTTTTAGTTCAGGCTTTGAGGCTGTAGAAAACCCATTTCCCCAGCTGCTGAAAGAACTGTCCTTGAAGGGAATGAAAAGAAACAGTGAGGGGCGGAGAGATGTCTTTCTGTACCTTCCTTCACTTCTAAGCACTCCATTTTGCCTCTGCAGGGAGAAGTGAATGCTAACAGTCTCCCGCTAGAGGACCTGTCCATTCAGCATCCCCAGGTGAGGGCTGACAGTGTTGCTGTGATGTGTGTTGATTCGGTGGCCCTGACGCTCCTTGCTGTGAGACGGCTGGTCTCTGGGCCGGCTGGACACGACCCTGGGGGCCGACTGGCCTTGAGGGAGCCTATTAAACGTAATATCTCAAATAAAAAGAGTGAGAGAGGAGGCCTGCTGCAGCAGCTTGTGCAGAGTTTCTCTCCCAAAAGCTAGTAAGCCGCCTGCGGAGCAAGCGTTTCAAGGTTTCAGCTGCACTGCGGACACAGAGACTGTTTGAAATGGGAGGTTTTTGGTAAAGTCTCCAGCCATGGTGCATGCATCCTTTGTGAAGAAAGCAATCCTATGATGCATTTAGTGTTATTTATATACTATTATAGTTTTTATCAATATTTGAAATCAGCTTTTATTTTATATTTTTCGTTTTCGTTTTAATTTTAGCTTTTTGTCATTTTGTTTGTGCGATTTAGGGTTTTTTTAAAATTAGTTTTAGTTTTTATTTCCAGTTAGTAATTTTTGTTAATAATAACCCTGATGCATTGTGATAAAAATGTTGAATGAAGTGAGAGAAATGTTGATTTGCATCAGCATTCTGTAAGCATCAATAAAAATGATTCAGTTTAATCAAAATATTAAAAACATTTGTATGGCTAATGGCTGAAATTAAGTACTTAAATTAATTAAAATACAATTTTGTCTGAGTAAATGATAAATAAAACACTAATAACAAAAAAATCTATCATTTTAAACGGTACAAGTGAATTTAGGCATCTCAACATTGTAATGTACAGTATGAAAAATGGAAATTTGTAGTGAATTTTTATACTTGTATAGTATGTATTGATATTTTGAATTAGCTTTTATTTAAAATAAAAATCATTTTCAGTTTTCATTTTAATTTCAGTTAAATTATTCAGTAATTTGCTTTTGTCATTTTTATCAGTTTTTTTTAATATTTGTTTTTTGTTTTTGTTTTAATTTGTCATTTATAGCGCTCCAACTTACTTTTATTTTATTTTTATTTATTTAATTTGTATAATTTTAATTGAATTTTCTAGTATTTCAGCTATTTTATTTCTGCGTTATCAATTAATAAAAACTTTTTTTTTAATCGTTTTAGTTATAGTTTAGCTTTACAGTCAGTAACAACAGTAACAGTAACTTTTAGTGAGCATTAGATGACTTCAAATGTAGTCTAAATGTACAAATAGAGGCATGCTCAATAAAATATGAAATATTGGCCAGTATAAATATTCATCATCATTCATCAACTGTAATATTAAAACAAATTTTTCCAATAATGGCTAATATATTGTGGATTCCTATTAAAGACTGTTTTACCCAATATTTGTGTAGGTATGACACTGTTACTCAGTTCAGTAATAATATGGGTTGACTAGAGTGATTTTATTGCTTCACATCTCCAATATAACCCTGATATCCTCAAGACCCTGTGCGTAATCACCAGCGTGTGTGTGGTGTAAAGATCTTTTAACCTCAACAATCTTACTTACCATAATGTTTTGTTTTACTGTCCAGGTTCAACCGTTGGATAAACCCTGGAGTGGTCAGGGAGCGGTCAACATGGTCCTGAGGTTAAG